AGAATAAAAGGAATAGTCTTTTTCTTGAAAACTTCCAATTTCATTGTTTATACCCTGTACATCATCAATATAATTTACCTACTTAAAACTTCTATGGAAACTACTACACAGTGATCTGTTATTCAGCTAAAAACAAGGTTTTAGGGATAGTAAAAATAGGTCCTAATTACCTATTAAGATTCTCCTCTATACTAGCTTAACAAATTGAGAAGTCCATTTTCCTGGCTGACTTTCTTTATAGCCTATTTTAATGTCTAATATATGCTCTGAAAGGTTTATACAAAATATTGAGGAAAGTATAAGGCATCTAAGCATGTCTCCAAGTGAAAAGATTTAGTTGACTAAAAAGGTAATCTGAAGGTAGAAATGGGAAGTCAGGCTATTGCCAAAACCAGTTTGGCTCAGTGGATAGAGTGTCTGTCTGTGGGCTGAAATGTCCCAGGTTTGATTCTGGTCAAGGGCATGTACATTGGTTGCAGGCACATCCCCCGGAGGGGGTGTGCAGGAGGCAGCTGATCAATGCTTCTCTCTCATCGATGTTTCTAGCTCTCTATCCCTCTCCCTTCCTCTCTGTAAAAAATCAATAAAAAATATTAAAAAAACAACAACACTATTGTCAAGGCCTGAACTTCTGCAGGAGTAGCTTCTTCCTAATTTCAGGGTCAGCTCCCTGAAATAATAGACACTTTGTTGGGCAGGTAAAGAGCAAGTTAAAGCACCAGTGGGATGCCCTGAGGAAGAACAAGAATGCCTGGAAAGCGTGAGGGAACAAAGGAAGTAGAAATGGTTACCAAAATCCTTAGGTCAATTTTTGGTCTGGGGTTGGTCCTACTTCCTTCTCTGGAAGTAGATGCAAACCTGATTAATTATGCAACTTTGGAAATCCTAAGGTAGAAGGTGGAGGACTATCCATTTTTACTAGCTGGAATCTTAACCTTCATAGTTACACAGGGTTCTAATTATCCGGAATGCTGATGCCCACTTCAGTGTGTTCTGAACCTTCTCACCTGAAAAACTTCCTTAATGCTAGTCCCTTACTTACCTTGAAATCCTATGCAATCTGGCTTTTACATCTTGGCTGCTTCATTACAATTGCTCGAGTATTATGACTCCTTGCCAAAACAAATGTGCTTTTATTAGCCTCTTAAATCTCTCCTGGCCCATGTATCCTTAAAGTATCTTTTGCTTTATGTGACACTACATGTCTTCCTGTGCTTTGCTATTTTTACTTAGGAAAAATTAAATTTTAAAAATAATACATAGAAGTATAGAAAATAGTCCTTTCACATCCTCTTTCTTGTTACATAAAGTAACCAATGAGTTAACAATTTGGTAGAGATTCTTTACCATTTCTTACCCTTTCCATGTTGCTAAATGCATGTAGATGTGTAATTTAGCCATTCTTTCACAGGTGGATATTCAAATTTCTAACTTACAATTTAAAAGTGTTGCAATGACTATCCTAGTACATACAAGTTATTTTGAAGATTTTATGACTTGATAGTTGCTGGGTCAAGCATAACATACATTTGTAATTTTGACAGTGTGAAATTGTCCTTCATGCATCCGACCACTTTAGTCATTCACTAGTAGTCTTCAGAGTACGTTTAGACCAACTCATTATCCATAATCTTTTAGTTTTTATCATTGTGATGTCTCAACAGTCTGAGTATCCTCTTGTTAATTTGCTCTTGGTATTTTTATCATTTTTTTTTTTTTTTGCTAATTCTATTGAGTTATTCTTTCTCACTGAAAGAAATTTTCTGTATTGTCTCAACACTTTATAATTGTTAACAACTTTATTCTCCTGAAATTTCTATATATGAAAATATCGAAGAGCCTATCTTTCTCCATTTGTAAAACTCCGCCTCTATAATGGGGTTATTTCTGGATTCTAGTTTGTTCCATTCATCTCTTTGTCTAGTCCTGTTCCAATACTACCCTGTTCTAAGTGTTCTAGTTTTTTAGTTCTAACATCTATTTGGGTTGTCATTAATTAATCTTTTCCAAACATGTTTTGTTTAACCTTGAAGATAAACTTTAAAATTGTCTTGCCAACTTCCACTAAAAAATTACATTAGATTTTTACTTCAAATGCAACAAATTTACTTTCAAGACAATTCTATCTTTGCAGTACTGAACCACCTAACCCAGCAACATAGCACCTTTCCCTTTAGTCCAGTGGCTCTCGAGCCACATGCGATTCTTTGGCCCCTGGAGTGTGGCTCTTCCACATAATAATATGTACCCTAATTAAGTTAATAACAATGTACCTACTTATGTAGTTGAAGTTTAAGATATTTGGCTCTCAAAAGAAATTTCAATAGTTGTACTGTTGATATTTGGCTCTGTTGACTTATGAGTTTGCCGACCACTGTTTTAGTTGAATCTTCAGTAACATCCATAAATGAAATTTCATTTTTTCTTCCATGTACATTTTGCTTATTTCTTACTAGGTTTATTCTCAGAGTATTTCCCCACTGTTGCTGCTAATTTGAATGAGATCTTTCTTTACATTTACACATTGAGTTTAGTTTATAGGGAATCTTGCTTCTGTATGTTGCCCTGCTAGCTCTCAATCTTACTGAACTCTCTTCTCTAGTATTTAATACTTTACAGTTGTCTTATATTTTCCAGGTAAACAATGACATCACTTGTCTTAATTTCTTTTCTAATTTCATACTTTTTCTTGCTTATTAGAGTCCAAAATTCTCAGAACAATGCTGACTTGCCGGACAGTAGATAATTTGGACTGTTAACATTAAATGTGCTGTTTATTTGTTCCTTCATTAAAGTAAGCTTCCTTTTATTTCTTAATATTAATTTTGTCTTCTTTTTGAGTAATAAATACTAACTTTTCAAGTTATCTTTCAGTATCAATTAAGATCTAGTTTATATCCTTTATTAGGAAATTTTCATTGCTAATTATTTAATGTTAACCCATCTTTGTACTGGTAGGATAAACCCAACTTGGTTATTGGTTATGACATTGTTTTCTAAATGCACTGCTGGCTTCATCGTTCCTTGAAAAGCTGCATGTATTGATAAATGAGACTAAGATTCAACGTTTTTTCTCCTCCCTCTCCTTATTTATGATACTTCATAGTGCAGAAGTATTCCATTCTTCTCTATGCTTTGTTCTTTGTAACTTCTGTCAGGGCTACACAGGTCATTCTTTTATGATTATCAGATTAAGGTTTTTTTAACTTGAATCCATTTTTTTGCAATTTACATTTTCCTAGAAAATTATACATAATTTTTCAGGACTATTTGTGTAATTTTACACTAAATCATTTCTGATTTTCAAAAACGCTGTCAGTAATATGTTGCCTTTGTTTCCAATATTGTTCTCTCCTTCATCACATTTCCTAAGTGTCTATTGTTTGTCTGTCTTCAAATGCCAGCTAGTATTGGGATCAATTTATTTCCTAGTCCATTTATTTGTTTTTATTTTTAAATCCTTTAAGATTAATTTGAGGGCATTTTACTTTTTCTGCTTTTCTTCTGTTTCTTTTTCCAATCTTTCCTGTCATGTGTATATCTAAGGATGTGCTGGCTCCTTCCCTCAGTGAGTTTACCCATACAACAAAGCAAAAAATGAAGCCTTTATCATTATTATATAAGTGGCTACAACCACTACATTAATTTGGAGCAGTCATAGTGGCTCCAATTCTCCACCTCTAGTTATGTGATCTTGGCCAAATCTGAGCGGTTTCTTCATCTGTAAAAACAGGAACAATACAGATTAAGTTTGAAACTATTTGCAAGTCACTTAGCATAGAAACTGTCCCATATTAATAATTCAACAGATGTCTGGTAAAAGGCCTCAGTTGTCCTATTTTAAAAATGACTAATCCCCCCGAGACCGGTTTGGCTCAATGGATAGAGCGTTGGCTTGGGGACTGAAGGGTCCCGGGTTCGATTCCAGTCAAGAGCATGTACCTTGGTTGCGGGCATATCCCCAGTAGGGGGTGTGCAAGAGAAGAGGCAGCTGATAGATGACTTTCTCTCATTGATGTTTCTAATTCTCTATCTCTCTCTCCCTTCCTCTCTGTACAAAATCAATAAAATATATATTTAAAAAATAAAACAAAAAATGACTAATCCTCAAATCCCTTCTAACTGTAAAAAACTTTACTTTCAGTCTATCACTTCATCCACCAGAAAATCAACTCATCAATCCACCCACTCACCCACACAACAGTTAGTAAGCCCTTCCCCCTTGAGCTAAATATTATAGATGTCAGGAACTCCAAGATGAATAATGAAGCAACAGTTTCTACCTCCCAGAAGCTTGGAGTCCTTGAGGGGTAGGAGTAAAGATTAACTGTTAAACAGGTAATTATAATACAATTGATAAGTGTTTGATATAAAGATTGTGGGAATTTAGAGACTTTGAGGAGTATGTGCAGCAAAATCAAAGATCAAGATAGAAACCCCAATTCAGGTACTTATTACTTACTAGCTGTGTATTCTCAGGCAATTAACTTTGCACTTTATTTGTAAAAAGCAATAGCAGTACTAGGCTGGTAAGTTATATTAAGAATAACAAATATGAAGCACTTAGTATAGTGCCATATTCATATGAACTCTTAAAAAAAAAAAAAAGAAGGCAATTTACTGTATTTCAAGAGAGTAAAAATGGGGTCTGGGGAATTTCCCAAATGTGTTCACAGCACAAAACCTGTGGGGAGGCACAGGTCAGGGGGGAGAGGGACTGAATGAAAAAGATAAAGGATTTAGTACAGATTGGTAGTCATAAAACAGTTACAGGGATGTTAAATACAGCATAAGGAATACAGTCAATAATACTGTAATAACTATGTATGGTGTCTGGTGGACACTTGAAATATCAGTGGGATTACTCTGTAAAATATATGATTGTCCACCACCGTGCTGTACACCTGAAACTAATACAAAAACTAAATGTAATTGAAAAATAAAATTTAAAAAGTTTTGTAGCTAAAAAACAAAACAAGGTAACAATAACAACAACAAACCCTATGGCAAAGCAATAAAGATGTGGGAGAAAAAAACACAGGTGAGGGGAATCAGGCTGGGTGATGCCCTTGGAGGGCAGAGAATTTTAATTTCTGTACTCTCAGCTGCTAGTACATTTTCATACATTTGAGCCATACTTTTACAATAGTGAATGGAAGAATGCACGTTAAGCAATAGGATTGGAGAAAAAGATCAGGGCTAAATTGTTGAAAGTAAACATTTTACAGGAAAAGGAATCTTGGATTTGAAGTCAGAAAACCGGAAGCAAGTTTTTGACTCATGGCCTGTATTTTTACACTGGCTCTACAACTTACCTGCTGTTCGGCCTGAGCAAAAACACTGACACCTTCAATCTCCTCAACTGTAAAACAGGTATACCACCTACCTTCCCAAATTATTGTGAGAATTAAGTACCAAGCGAGCGATTATCAAAGGGCCGGGCACTAGTAAGCACGCAATAATGATACCGGCTGCAGCTGCTAACGTCTCCGTTAGGTCTTTCTCCATATTTGTGAGAAGTTAAGGGCCAAGAAGAGCCTTTCTTCAATATCCCATCCTGCACGGAGAAAAATTACACTTGGTTTGCCAAGGACGAAAGGCCCCGCCCGGCACGAGCCGTACAGGTCACCTACGCAGACGGCGATCCCGGGGCTTCCGCCGGAGCGCGGGGCCTGGAGACCGCGAAGCCCGCCAGCCGTCCCCGAGAGACGGGGTCGGATAAGGTTGGCTTTGTGGGGCCGAGCGGAATTTCACCGAAAACTGGTCTCCACCACCATCCGATTGGCCTGCAGGCCCAGCCTTGCAAAGGGTGAAGGGAGGGGAGCCGGAAGTGATGCAAAGCCGCCAGGAACAGGAAATGACCCTCGCGTGCCGGAAGCCGGAAGTTTATTCGTTTCCAAGGCAACGGTCACCACCCTCTCCGACCTGGCGGCCGGAGTCGGGGACGCTGGAACGCTCCTTCGAGGAGCGGGTCCCCATCGACGGCGGCCGCCGCCTCAGCGACTCGCGGGGAGACGCAGCCGAAGCCGGCGGCCGCGGCGCCGGCCCTCTGGGGTGGAGGACAGACGGCCGGCCCGGGCACCGCGGCGGCCAGTGTGAGGAGAGAAGGAGCGAAGACCGGGAGTTTTGTCTCAGGGAAGACACGGAAAAAAACCGCGAAGAAGACGACCGCCCCTGCAGCGTCTCCGCGGGGAGAGTGAGAGACGACGGGGGCCTCTCCGGCAAGGACCGGAGGAGGCTCCGTGAAGACCTGGGCCGCCGCCGCGGCGGTTCTGAGGAGACAGTTCGGGGTGGCGGAGGCCACGGCCACAGCGGCTTCCCCAGCACTGACGCCGGTGGTCTCTGTCAGGTCGGCGGCGCCCCGGGCAGGGACTCCGGGGGAGCCGTCGGAGAAGACCGCAGCCTCCGTGCTTGGGAGGGAGTCGGAGAAGCCCGCGGCGCCGGGACCAGCGACTCCGCCGGGGAGAGGGGCGGCGACGAGCTCGGCCGCCGCCTCGGTGGCTCCCGGCGAAGGGGGAGCGTGGACGACGGCACCAGCTTCAGCAGTTCCTGGGAAGGAGTGGGTGAAGACCGCGGCTACGCGGCCAGCGACTCCTCCGTGGTGAGCGGCGGCCAAGACGACAGCCACCGCCTTAGGGGCTCCTGGGAGGACCGCGGCGCTGGGCCCGGCGAGGACGAGGACGAGGACGGCCGCTGCAGTGACTCCTGGAGGATAGCGAGTGAGGACCGCCGCAGCAGCCGCGGCCAGGATTCGTCTCCTCCTCCTCCTCGGCGTCCGTGGGATCGCACCATGCCCGGGGTGCCCCTTTCAGACCCCTCCGCTTCCTTCACGGAGTCCGCAACCCCGTGTGAGTCCAGGTTCATGACTTCGATAGCCCTCATCTCTGCCTCGCTCCCCCTCTCATTTCTGCCCACATCAGCCTTCTGTTTTCTGGCCGTCCCCTTTCTCAGCTGTCACTCCTCTCTCCACCTCAGTGACCTATTTTCGGTAGGTCCCAAAGCTATTATTCTCTTTTTCCCCAGCCTTCCTCATTTTAGCTTTACCTCCTTTCTTTCCGTCTGCACATTCCCGAAACTTCTCACCCAATGATGACTACGTTTGTTAAATCTTATGAACCCTTTTAAGTTCTTACTTGACTTCTTTGAAGCATTTGACCCGGTGAAGATGACATTAGACTTAACATCCTCTCCTTAAATGTTGCTTCTCCCCTTCCCTCCGTCCCCCCCGCCCCCCTTGCCATCGCTATGACTTCAGCCTTACTGAGGACTTTCAAATCTATGTTATTCATTCAACCATCCAATAAATATTTACTGAGTGCCTAATATGTGTTCTGTCTTAAGGACACTAAGAAGACAGGCATATTCCTTACCTTCTACTGGGGAAGATAAGTATTGAGCAAATAATGACTAGTGTGATGCATATTATAAAGAAGAGTAGAGTGCCATTGGTTCCAGTTTACGGGTGTCAGAAAAACCTACCTAATGCCGGACACATCTACTGAGATCTGAATTCCTGATCTCTCCTCTGAGTTGCAGACTCATGTAGAAGTCCATTCTGGAACTCTTCCTGGGGAACCTTAAAATCAACATGTCTACAGTGTAATTTTGGCCCTGGCTGGGTGGTTCAGTTAGTTCCAGCGTCATCCTCTACAGTCAACGACTAACAAGGTTTAAGATTATCTGGGCCACAAAAAAACAAAAGCTTCAATTTTCATAGACAAGTAGGTTTATTTTGATGCTGAATACAAAGGGCTGAAATAAATGAGTAATGGTTAACATAAAGTAATAGAACATTTTAATAAAAATATTTTTTCTTGAACATTAACTTACCAGATACTGAATAACTGAACAAATTAATAAGCATAATGTAAGTAAACCTATTTTTCTTGTTCTCCGAAAGTGAAATATTTCCTGTTGTGCACATCAAGTTTGACATGCGTACTCTACACTAGCCAGTACAAGACTAATAATGTGGCAATTGGCTGCTAAAAATATTCGCTGCTAGTATTAGTGGAGAGAAATGGTGTGGCCTGTGTGTAAGGCATGTAAGGGAAATGAATGCAGCGATTATAGTAATCAGTCATTGGTTTGTTATTAATAGTCTATGTGTATAAAAGGCTAATATGCAAAGTGTCCCTGCAGGAATTCCATCAGGAGCCAGGGAGTTGTATCACTTGCTATGATGTGCACTGACCACGAGGAGGTGGCGCAGAGCAAAGGAAGGTCCCTGATTGCCGGCCATCTGGGGACCCTACCCTTGCACGAATTTTGTACACCGGCCTCTAGTTATGTATAACAGGATATTGTAAAAATTAAGTTACATAATTTTTATTAAAACGTTTCTTACATACAGATATATTGGCTGGGCCATAAAAATATTCGTTATGGGCAGCGAGTTTGATATGCTTGCTCTACACCAAAAGGTTGCTGGTTTGATTCCCTATCAGGACACATAGTTAGGTTTTAGTTTTAATCCTTGGTCTGGGTGTATATAGGAGGCAACTGATTGATGTTTCTTTCTCTCACCACTACTCTCTTTCTAAAATCAATAAAAACATATCCTTGGGTGAAGATTTAAAAAAAAAAAAAAAATAGCCCTAGTCTGTTTGGCTAGTGGATTGAGTGTCAGCCTGCATACTGAAGGGTTCCTGGTTTGATTTTGGTCAAAGGCACTTGCCTAGGTTGCGGGCTCTATCCCCAGTAGGGAACATGCAGGAGGCAGCTGATCAGTAATTCTCATAGATGTTTCTCTCTCCCCCCACCCGCCTTCTTCTCTGAAAGCAATAAAAATATATTTTAAAAATTCAAAAATAAAGTGATTTTGTATCCACATGTCTCTGTCCTCCAGTGTTCACTTTTTCAATTGTGCCACACCACTTAGAGAACTAAGCCATACTCCTTGAAGTTACCCCAATACTCTTTCCTTATTTTGCCCACTATTACATCCAAATTTAGTTCAACCTGTTTTTTATAATATTTGTTGAATATTCTGTTTCCAAAGCCATTCTCTGGGTTGAGGATCTCAATCTTTCTGCTATAGACTATATAGCTATTTTCTTACATAGCCTCCTGAATCTCTAGTGCTGCATTTTTAAAAATATATATATATTTTATTGATTTTTTACAGAGAGGAATAGAGAGGGATAGAGAGTTAGAAACATCGATGAGAATCATTGATCAGCTGCCTCTTGCACACCCCCTATTGGGGATGTGCCCGCAACCAATGTACATGCCCTTGACCGGAATCGAACCTGGGACCTTTCAGTCCGCAGGCCGAAGCTCTATCCACTGAGCCAAACCGGTTTCAGCTAGTGCTGCATTTTTGCTCCCCAATGAATTTCCCTCACCTGTAGCCAGTCCCATAAATCCAGCATTACAAATCTGATCATTATTAGTCTTCTGTTTAAAATCCCTCACTAATTCCTCATTTAAGTGCTTCTAGTTCTTTGTGGCTCCCGTGGCTTCTTCTCTAGGTGAACTGGGCTTAACTGTGTTTCTCTGTATATGCCTATCTTTCCAGATTCAGGGTGGTAGTTTGCCGAGACCTCAGTTCTCTGGTCAGTCTAAGAACAGTTATTGGTTTTCAGTTTGTTTTCTCCTATGTATAAGGGAATGATACTTCCATGCTTTTTAGACATTAGAACTAAAATGGAAGTCTGGTTAAGAAGATGTTAATCATAAACATCTTTGTATTAAATTATTTGGAAAGTCAAAGTGATTTTGTGCTTTCTTTTGTCTTATTGCTTTAGTCTTTTCATATTTTTTGACATTGTAATATATTTTAAGCAATTTGATTTTTCAGTAGGTGCCAGGAGGAAGGTGCATTTTAGTAGCATACATGATGCAGTACGCGCTGGAGATGTAAAGCAGCTTTCAGAAATGGTAGAACGTGGAGTCAGCATTAATGAAGTTGATGTTCTCCACAAATTTACCCCTTTACATTGGGCAGCACATTCGGGAAGCTTGGAGGTAAGCTAAATAAAACTAGGATAAGTTTACAGCTGTTAGCAGTTTTATAAATTTAGCAAACAGGACTGATGCATTGCAAATAATTTCTTTTTTAATTCAGTCTGTTATTAGGAGTTTTGTTTACTTATAATGGCTTTGTAACAAATTATCCCAAAACTTGGTGGCATAAAATAACCATTCATTTATGCTCAGGACTGAACAAGGAGTTTGAATCTCAGACACAGCTTGTCTCTGCTCCATGATGTCTGGGGCTTCAGCTACACATTGAAAAACTGGGGTTGGATCCTTCTCAAGGCTTGTTCACACAGCTGTCTTCTGGTATATGCTGGCTCTTTGTGGGCCTATTTGTGAAGATACTCTACCTTTCTAGGTTGTACTTCCTCACAATGTGGTTACTGGGTTCCAAAGGAAAACATAAAGGGTAAATTAAAGAGGATAACAGAATGAATACCTAGTTCTCTCAAATCTTAATGTGTTTTTTTTTTTTTTTTTTGCTATAGTTGCTTCAGATTTTTAGAAAACAAATGAAATACTATAGATACATTGGAAATCCCTGAACACCCCTCCAGGCACCATTTCTCTCCTTCCAAATCCAGAGACAACTGTTACCCTGAATTTGGTGTTTATTATTCCTATCTATATTTTATGCTGTTATTGCTTATGATTATATCATTGCTCTAAATGACATATTTTATATAAATGACATTAGGGGCCCAGTGCAAGAAATTCGTGCACTGGGGAGGGGTCCCTCAGCCCAGCTTGCCTCCTCTCACATACTGGGAGCCCTCAGGCCTAAGCCACAGTCTTGCCTCCCTTTGTGGGAGGCATCTGGGCTGATCAGGGGAAGGCACCAACCCTATCACCCAGCTGCTGCAGTCACTGCCAGTTGTTGCAGCTGCCAAGTTATTTACATCAACATGGACTCCAGTCCCTTCACCATGAAAAAATGACAACTTTCTTTAAGCATTTTCAAGATGTGTCTTTCATAGGATATGACATTTATTTTTCCTTTTAACCTCATTTGAGGATATGTTTCCATTGTTTTTTTTCCCCTTCCCTTTGATCACAGGGTCAGTCCCTTCACAAGCCTAAAGCCTCTGCCCAGCTTTAGGCTTGTGAAGGGGGCCTTCGCTCCTCTGATTGCAGGTTCCCAAGCCTAAAGCCTCTGCCCAATGGCCGGCTAGGAGTGACCTGGGTGTCAACCTGGGTGCTGAGGAGGCTCCCCAGGACCCAGGTATGTATGCAAATTAACCACCATCTTCGTTGGGTTAATTTGCATACTCATTCTGATTGGCTGTGGGCATAGCAGAGGTATAGTCAATATACATGTTTCTCTATCATTAGGTAAGATATGTATTATTATTTGATACATGTGATTAAATATATGCACGCTAGTTTATTTCTTTCAGCCATATTGTTATAGTCTATTCTTACACTAACATCAGAATTTATTTGTTTTCAACTGATGGATGTTTAGTTGGTTTCAGTTTTTACCTAGTACAAGCATTCTTTAATGAAGTTTTAATGCAAAACTTCTTATTCTTGGTCTGGATACAAACCAACTAAAATTTTTCTCATGATTCAAGTTTGTGTGTGGAGAGCTTATTTTAGCTACTACATTTCCCCAGCCTATGGGCTGCAATGGGTTTATTCACTATGCAGTCTTTTTTCCCATGCTACACAAGCAGAGACTGCTTTCTATGAATATGGTTCTCTGTGTGAATTCTTGTTTGTCTGGGCTCCTCTGCTTCTTGGAACCAAATCTTATTTGGAGAATCTCCACCAGTTTGTGTGCCCCACTTGAACTATTGTGAACAAGGATTTCCCTTTGGCCTTTTTTTTTTTTTTTTTTTTTTTTTTTAATTGCATTTTTCTCACATCATTATCTTTTTAAAAATTTTCACCCGATGATTTTTAAAAATACATATATATTTTATTGACTTTTTACGGAGAGGAAGGGAGAAGGATAGAGAGCTAGAAACATCGATGAGAGAGAAACATTGACCAGATGCCCTCTGCACACTCCCCACCAGCGATGTGCCCGCAACCAATGTACATGCCCTTGACAGGAATCGAACTTGGGACTCCTCAGTCCACAGGCCGACGCTTTGTCCACTGAGCCAAACTGGTTTCAGCTTAATTCTTGTTTTTATTTTTAAGCCTGGCTCCCTAAGGGTTCACCCCTGGGCCTGCATAGTTTAGTGGTCAGCCAGTGACTTATGAGATCATGTGCTTAAATACCATAAGGATTTAATCTTTTACTGATGGGTGTGTATGGATAAATTCAAGCAGCTTACAAGCCAGCCTAACATCTTTTTAAAAAAATAAGTTTGCAAGGCCTCATGTTTAGCCAGGGATATCTTATCAACTTAGTCCCTCTTCAGTCTTTTCTTTGTCTGAGCAGCCTTGTATATGCACACAGCCTTTTAGATCACAAGGGGAAAATGGAATCTTATTAAGGACCACTTTGGCCATCTCATTTTTTGGAATTTCCTATTAATTTTCTGGGTAGTCTTTAGTTTTGTGCATGCTCCAACCAGTATCATGACTTTAGGCTAGCTCTGATGTTGGCTTTCTTGGATTGTACTGAGGAGCAGAATTGTTTTTGACAATGTGTCTGGGCATGGAGTTTTATGTGTTCAGCTATAGCAAAGTCAATTTCTTCAGCAGAGCACTGGAGCTTTTCACCTAGTACAATAGATCTCTGCACCATGCAGCGGGGTAAGCAAAGCTATAGTCTCAGTCTCCTGTACTTACTGAGATTCAGTAGATTTTTCTCATATATGTGCTTCTCATTTTATTACATGCCTTTGGTCAATTTCCAGTCTTTAAATTGTTGTTTTTGACAACTTTGTCTACTTTTATCATTGCTTCTCAGGGAGGATTTACCAAGTTCCTTATTTATCCATTTCTGAATTCCTGCTTATTTGTTCATTGCTTTTTGATAAGGGTGAACATGTAATCTAATGGAGAGCAGATATTCATTAATTTCATTAAATGGTGCTGGCATTATCGACCATTCATATGTAAAAAGAAGAAACCTTGACTCATACCTGGCACCATATAAAAAAATGTACTCAAAATAGATTATAGGCAAATTTGAAACTTAATCTTATAAAACTTCTAGAAGAAAGCATAGGAAAAAAATCTCTGCAAATCATGTATCTGATTTTGTAACCAGAATAAGAGATCACAACTCAGTAGTGAGAAAAGAAAAGAAAAAAACAACACAATAAGAAAATGGCAGCCGAAACCAGTTTGGCTTAGTGGATAGAGCATTGCCTGCAGACTGAAGGGCCCCAGTTTTGATTTTGGTCAAGGGCATGTACCTTGGTTGTGGGCATATCCCCAGTAGGAGGTGTGCAGGAGGCAGCTGATCAATGTTTCTAACTCTCTATTCCTTTCCCTTCTTCTCTGTAAAAAAATCAATAAAATATATTTTAGAAAAATGGCAAATAACTTCAATAGACATTTACTCAAAGGTAATATGGATGGCAATTGAACACATGAAAAGATATTCATCATCATTAGGCATTAGGGAAATACAAGTTAAAACCACAAAAGATGCCACTACACATATATTAGAATGACCAAAAAAAGAAAATAAACAAACAAAAAAACAACCCCCTACAAATAGATAACTCAAGAAATGATGATATACAGTATTGGTAAGGATATGTAATAACTAGAACTCTCATACATTGCTCGTAGAAGTATAAAATGATAGTACCACTTTGGAAAACAGTTTGGCAGTATCTTACAAGGTAAAATATATTAGTCTGTGTTCTACCCTGTTTCCCCGAAAATAAGACAGTGTCTTACTCCCAAAGTTGCGCTAGGTCTTATTTTCAGGGGATGTCTTATCTTTCCATGCTCTAGGTCTTATTTTCAGAGGATGTCTTATTTTTGGGGAAACATGGTAGCAGTCTCGCTTCTACATAGTATTTACTTAGAACAATTACACATGTACATGAATATTTATAATGGTTTTATTCCAGTACCTAAACAGTGTTAGTACATAGTAGTATACACACAAATATTTGTTGAATAAATGAATTATTTACAGTGATTATTAGTGAAGTTGAACTTTTAAAAAAATATATTACTGGCAACTAATCTCTGTGACAGGCAAATGATATCTAATGGTAAGCTTTTAACAAACGATAGGGCTGTGATTCCAATTATAGTCAATTTAAAAAAAAGTTTTTTTTTTTAAATTGGGAGAAACCAAGATGGCAGTGTAGGTAAACAGCTAAACTGCCACTTCGCACAACAATTTCAAAACTACAACTAAAAGACAAAACGTCTATCACCCAGAATCATGGGATAGCTGGCTGAGTGGAAGTTCTACAACTAGAAGGAAAGAGAGCACAAGCGCTGAAAAGCTGAGGTACGGAGGCACACGAATTGGGCTGGTGGTTGGCGACTAGGAACGCTACTTTTTTCCAATCTACAGGGAGACAAGTTCCTGATCACTCTGAAGTCCTGTTTCTGGGGAGATGCAGGGGACCCAGATGTCTACAGGGAAAAGCTGGACTGTTGGCCATCGGGTTGGAAAGTGAGGGTGATTTTCTTGCAGAGGTGCATCCAGCAATCATTGTTTATTGTGGGGACTTAGAAACACGGAAAGACAGAGAAGACTGACTGCCAGCTTTCGCTGTTTGCCATGCCCTAGCCTAGAGACGCCCTGAGACCACGCCCCACAAAATCTACAAACCCACCTAGGCTCCCAACGGTGGCTTTTGCATGTAAATGGCCTGCTCTGTCGCAGCTTAACCAAATAAACTGCAGCTTCAGTCAGAGAGCTCCAAAACCTCCAAATCCCAAGCAAAGAGGAGAAAACTGTAGTTCTTGCTGTAGCTCCTGCTAGGAGGCCTCAGACAGTAACTGACCTGCATCCCATTGGAGATCCAGAAACTAGTGAATCTAGAGACAACACCGGATTTCAACTACTCTCATAAGGGAGACATTCAAGAGGCAGACACAGTGAGCACCAAAGCCCCACTGGAACAAGATCTGCCACATAAACGTGTCTCCAGCATAGCAATTCTTCTGTTATAGACACAGCGAGTCCTCACAGCCAGTTGGCCTGGAGGTCAATTCCTCCCCAGTGACCCAACAACAATCAAGACTTAACTACAACAAGGCTGTACACACAGTTCATGAAGGGCTTCACCAAGAGTGTTCACCTCAGGTAACTGGGAGGCTGACCCATTGAACCATATTGGACACCTAGCACACAAAGCCACCCTACCAACTCAGGAAGCAGCAAAAATGAGGAGACAAGGAAACAGATCACAAACGAAAGAAATGGAGGAGAATGAACAACTAGATATAGAGTTCAAAACCACGGTTATAAGGTTTTTCAAGAATTTCCTAGAAAAGGCCGATAAATTTAACAAGACTCTCAAGGATATGAAAAAGGACCTACTAGAAATGAAACATAAACTGACTAAAATAAAAAACATTATACAGAGACCCAACAGCAGACTAGAGGAACGCAAGAATCAAGTCAAAGATTTGAAATACAAAGAGGCAAAGGACATGCCTCTGGAGAAGCAAGAAGAGAAGAGAATCCAGAAAGTTGAAGATAGTGTAAGAAGCCTCTGGGACAACTTCAAGCGTACCAACATCAGAATTATGGGGTGCCAGAAGAAGAGAGAGAACAAGATACTGAAAACCTATTTGAAGAAAACTTCTCCCACCTTATGAAAGAAATAGACTTACAAGTCCAAAAAGTTCACAGAACCCCAAACAAAAGGGATCCAAAGTGGACCACACCAAGACACATCATAATTAAAATGCCAAGGGCAAAAGACAAAGAGAGAATCTTACAAGCAACAAGAGAAAAATAGTTGCCTACAAGGGAGCATCCATATGATTATCAGCTGATTTCTCAACAGAAACTATGCAAGCCAGACAAGAGTGGCAAGAAATATTCAAAGTGATGAATAGCGAGAACCTACAACAAAGATTACCCAGCAAAGTTATCATTCAGAATTGAAGGGCAGATAAAGAGTTTCACAGATCAGAAAAAGCTAAAGGAGTTCATCACCACCAAATCAGTATTATATGAAATGCTGAAAGGTATTTTTAAAAAGAGGAAGAAGAAAAAAGATAAAAATTATGATCAACAAATACATATATATATATATATATATATATATATATATATATATATCAACAGGTTAATCTAAAAAACAAATGAATTAAAAATCTGAGGAACAAAATAAACTGGTGAATATAATAGATTCAGGGGCATAGAATGAGAATGGATTGATAGTTCTCAGGGGGAAGGGTTTCTGTGTGGGGGGTATGGGAAGAGACTGGACAAAAATCATACACCTATCAGAATCCAAGATGGCTTCTTGGGTAGACACCTAGCAGCAGCCGCACGCAACAAGTTCAATAAAATACAAAAATATAAAATGGACATTACCCAGAACTACAGGAAAGTCGACTGACTGGAAATTCTACAACAAGAAGCAAGGAGATAACAAGAAGGAAGAGCGGAGGAGCTGTAAAAGCCTAAGGTACCGAGACACGAGGCGCGCGCGGAGAGGAAGGAGCCGGAGCGGAGGGAGACTGAGTGCCTGGCTGGCGTACCCTAGTGGGAAGGAGATAAAAGCTCCGACTGTGCTGGGCCCAGCTCCAACCGCTCTGAACCCCAGTTCTAGGCCAGACCCTGGAGACCCAGGCTCATCCATAGGTAGCTGGGCTGTAAGGCGGAACCTGGGGGAGCGGCAAAAGGAGGTCCCAGAGGCACGCACATTGCGCGCGGAGAAGGGTCGGCCGGCTGTGCCTCGGGATTGCCCTGGCGGGAAGGAGACAGGGGCTCCAGACTGCTCTGAACGCCACCTCCAACTCCACTTTCAACTGAACTGAACCCCAGTTTCGGGCCCATTGGGGGAGAGACTAGATTGTTTGGTAGCAGGTGATCGTGGACACCTTTCTCTCAGAGGCACTTGCAGAGTACTGAAGGACCCTGAGACTCAGGAGCCGCATAGGGTGGGGCTGATGGAAGCCAAGGCTGTAGGCTCCACCCTGAAACACCGCCCCATCAGGAAAGCTGCCTGCGAAAATGCCTAAACCAAATAGATCACAAACGAAAGAAATGGAGGACAAAAAGCGACTGGATATAGAATTCAAAACCACACTTATAAGGTTTTTCAAGAGTTTCCTAGAAAAGGCTGATAAAATAAATGAGACCTATGAGGATATAAAAAGGGATCAACAAAAAATAAAGAATACATTGTCTGAAAAAATATTATACAGAGTCCTAAAAACAGAATAGAAGATCGCAAGAATCAAGTCAAAGATTTGGAACATAAAGAGCCAGAAGATACTCCTCTGCAGAAGCTAGAAGGCAAGAAAATCCAGAAAATTGAAGATGATGTAAGAAACCTCTGGGACAACTTCAAACGATCCAACATCAGAATTATGGGGGTCCCAGAAGATGAGAGAGAGCAAGATATCGAAAACATACTGAAAGAAATAGTGACAGAAAACTTCCCCCACCTGGTGAAAGAATTGGACTTACAAGTCCAGGAAGCACACAGAACTCCAAATAAAAGGAATCCAAAGAGGACCACACCAAGACAAATCATAATTAAGATTCCAAGAGCAAAAGACAAAGAGAGAATATTAAAAGCATCAAGAGCTAAGCAGGTAGTTAACTATAAAGGAGCACCTATATGATTGTCAGCTGATTTCTCAACAGAAACCATGCAGGCCAGACGGGAATGGCAAGAAATATTCAAGGTGATGAATAGTAAGAACCTACAGCCAAAGATAATCTATCCAGCAAAGCTATCACTCAGATTCGAAGGTCAGATAAAGAGCTTCACTAATAAAAAAAAGCTAAAGGAGCTCATCACCACCAAACCAGAATTATATGAATTGCTGAAGGGGGATCTTTCAGAAGAGAAAATAAATAAAGATAAAAATTATGAACAACAAATACGTAACTATCAACAAGTGAATCTAAAAACCAAGGAAATTAAAAAAAAATCTGAGGAACAATATTAACTGTTGAATATAATAGAATCAGAGGTATGGAAGGGGAGTGAACTGATGATTCTTGGGGAAAAGGGGAGAAGGGGATGTGGGAAGAGACTGAACATAAACTGTGCACCTATGGATGAGGACAATGGGGGGTGGGGAAAGGGCAGAGAGTGGGGTGGGAAGGGGGGAGAAAGGAACATTTGTAATAATATGAACAATAAAAATTTATTTAAGAAAAAAAAAATCATACACCTATGGATGAGGACAGTGTGGGGGGGAGGTAAGGGCAGAGGGTTAGGTGGGGACCGGGTGGAGAGCGGCTGGTGGGGGGAAGGTGAAACAATTGTAATAATATGAACAATAAAGATTTATTAAGTTAAAAATAAATAAAAAAGAAACTTCTTAAAGGCAGAGTCTATAAACATGAACATATAGTGACACTAATGCTATATGTGGTACAGAGCTCTAATTATTACAATAAGTGTTAGGGTAATTTTTACAAATCTTAAAAGAAGATGCCTTTGATTCCCACCATCCCCCTTTTTATATAAACCTATTTTTAGAGAATGTCATCAGAATAACAAAGTTTGCCTTAATACAGAAGTTTCTTGACCCATTCAAAATCTATGGAAAAAACACTACAAACCAAAAAATAAAATATATGGCAGAGGTTGCAAACTAATAGTCCTTAAGTGAATTTGGTTCGAAGATATGCTTTTTGTTTGGCTTGTACAGTACTGGTCAAACATAAGTTTTGGATCAGCATTTTAGTCACAGCAATACTGACTGGAATTGAGTGGCATCTGTACCTTATTGACAAGGAATGTCATCTCCAGTTTGTCACAGTTCCTACTGCTATTGCTTACCCAACAGTAAGGTCTGATGTTGATATCCTGTTATTGTGCTTGTGCTTATACCTGGCTCCCTCATTCATTTATGATATTTCTCAGGTTACAGTATTTCTTGATGACAGACTAAATTTAAATGATATAAAAATGTTTAAAACATCTATCTTATCACTTATTAACATGGTTGTTTTCTTAGTGTCTTCATTGGCTCCTCTGGCACGGAGCTGATATTACACAAGCAACTATGAGAGGCTGGACAGCAGCTCACATAGCTGCAATCAGGGGTCAAGATGCTTGTATGCAGGTAATAATAATTTTGTTTACTTTTTAAAAATTCAGTAAGTTTACTTTAGCATAGTTCTGTTAAGCTGTTGCTTTTATTCTAATAATTTGATCATATACAATAGATTTGCTTTTAAATAAGAACTTATTGGCCCTAACCGTTTTTGCCTCAGTGGATAGAGTGTTGGCCTGCAGACTGAAGGGTCCCAGGTTCGATTCCGGTCAAGGGCATGTACCTTGGTTGTGGGCACATCCCCAGTAGGACTCCATGTCTTAGATATTTTGGTATCAACTATCCACTTAAGCAAAAGATATATGAGAAGAAACCCTTTTATCTTCAAAGTAGTTGATTATCTGAGTAGATTGTTAAGGGATGTCACATTCATCCACAGATTACCTCATTTATAGCTTTCCATGCCTAAAATTCCTTATTTAATGTGTTTCCTGGCCAGAATAGCACATTAATATGTGACAGGATCTAATTTATTAGAGTACAATAGACTAGATTTTGGAGAAATACAACATCACATAAGCAAAAAGGGAGCCAGGTTGCTTATTTATGCAATCATTGGTTGCTTCTTTATGTGTATATGAGTCCCTGCCTGTAAAAAAAAAACCCCGAGATTCTGTTCAGTGACAAGAGCTCTGCTCAGTGCATCACAAAGCAATACAAAGCACATTTTACAATTAAGGTTTTAATAAAAAATACAGATGAGAAGAATTATAGAACTTAGCTGGAGATAGATAAAGCATAACTGGAGGAAATACAATTTTAGCTAAGCCTAAAAGAATGGGTTGATTTTAAAGAGGTAAGTAGTACAGAAGCATTATTGGTAGGGATAAACTCATTCCTATTTCTCTGTTTTTAGGCTCTCATAATCAACGGAGCAAATTTGACAACTAAAGATGATCGTGGTTGCACTCCTTTACATCTTGCTGCAACACATGGACATTCTTTCACTTTGCAAATAATGCTCCGGAGTGGAGTGGTGAGGGATTCCTATTAGTATGTGAGGATGTATAACCATATAAATGAAATAACATTTGGTAGCCTCGTTAGCTCTTTCTGACTTTTTAAATATCCTTTATGACTTTAGGGAAGTCATTTGATCTCTCTCTTTAGTTTTCCCTTCTTTAGGAATAGGAGTAATAATTTAGATAAGTCTTCAGAAAACCCCAAAACACCCAGTTAGTAATATAAACTATTTCAGAGGCTATGGGGTTCTTCATATCAGCTCAGAGTTTAACTGGGAAGATTCTGAAGCTTCTAAACATATGTTAACCAATGATTGTAAGTTTTTCTGAATTTCTTGTATAACTCTTATTTCATACTACTGGCCTGTGTGCACAGATTTGTGCACATTGAAATGAAATTAATTAGAAGAAATATTTTAATATTGCTATTTGCCCTTGCTCTACAATAGAAGTATCAGAGATTAAAGAAAATTAGTAAAATGTATATGAAAATAACATTAATAAATTATTACTAAATAAACATAACAACATGATATAACAACAACAAAGACATTACTAGAGTTTGGCCTTGTGATTTATTAATAGTCATCGCAAATGCTGGCATTACAAGAAACTGTCCTTGAATTAATTTAAATGGGAGGCCAGTGTCAGAAGGGGACAAATATTGCGCATGTGTGAGTCAACATTTATTTTTAAATTGCCAGTGTGCGTTATATATACCAGCTGGTCAGTCAGCCAGTTGGCCAGTTGGACGGATGGACGGATGGTTGGTCACTTAGCCTTTTTTAGTATTATAATATATAAAAAGGCTAATATGCTAAGTGTTTGTCCTGGTAATGACTTCACATAGCAATGCCTGGCTTCCTCTCCCTAGCGACTAGACTTCTTACAGTTTCTTTAGCCCAGGAACATGACTTGCTTTATAGCGAGGTGGAAACATTTTATACTTTGACAAAATGACTGTGAAGCATTTTCCCTTGCCGCATCTCATTTGACCCTCACAGAGGTCCTAGAGTAGGTAAATATTAGGTCTAGTAATAATTAATGTCGTTTTAAAATACTTTTTAAAATCGAATTTATTTAAACAATACAACAAAATTTAATCAACAATATAGTTGCTGTTGTTTTCTACTACTTGTGCCCAACGCTCAGGAAGCATTTTAATCCCTCTGTTGTAAAATTCTTGTGATTTTGATGCAAAAAATTTGGTCAATGCATTTTTGAGGCATTCTTCATTATTAAATTTTTTTCCAAGAAGAAAGTTTTGCAAAGAACGAAACAAATGGTAATTGGAAGGGGCAATATCAGGAGAATATGCAGGTTGAGGGAGAACTTCCCATTCCAACTGGCACAGTTTTTCAGCAGTGATTCTTGCAGTATGCGGTCGTGCGTTATCGTGGTGAAGAATTACGCCCTTCCGATTAATCAGCGCGGCTTCTTTTTCTCTTAAAGCTTGGGATAACCTTTCCAATTGGGCACTATACACTGCACTTGTAATGGTTTGGTTAGATGGTAAAAGTTCATAATGAAGAATTCCTTTAAAATTCCACCAAAAACACAACATCACTTTTTTCGCATGCAAGTCAGGTTTTGGCGTAGGCTGCGGAGCCTCATTTTTGTCCAACCATTGAGGCCGCCTTTTCAAATTAACATACAGCACCCATTTTTCATCCCCGGTAACAATTTGCTCTAAAAACGGCAAACAGTTTTGACGAGAGAGGAGCGAACTGCAAATTGTGACTCTGAATACGGTTGTTGTCGGTCAACTCATGAGGAACCCATTTTCCAAACTTTTGGACTTTGCCAAGTGCACGCAATTGATTGGAAATTGTTTTTTGTAAACAATTTCAAGTTGTCGCAAGCTCTTGTTGGGTAATTTGAGGATTTTGCACCAAAAGAGCTTGAAGAGCTTCTTGATCAAAATTGGACACACGGCCTCGACCACTCTTGTCATCTAACGAAAAATTTCCCTCGCGAAATTTCTCAAACCAACGCTGGCATTTTCTGGCGCTAACTGCATCTTGACCAAGAGCACTACAGATGTTTTTTGCAGCCTCACTTGCTTTTCTTCCTAATTGGAACTCGTAAAGCATGCAGTGCCGAATATGCTCTTCATCCGCCATCTTCTTAGCCCTAGTTTTGCAACAAAAACCAAACCCAACACAAACTTTTTCAAGCAAAACTTGTTAATTGCACTTCACACGTTCTGTAGATACCACGTGTTTGAAGGTTATGTCAATACAAGTCAACGCCAAGCAAGATTTTAAACGAATGTTTAAAAACGACATTAATTATTACTAGACCCGATAGGAGACTCAGTACCATTCCATTGTTTTTCTTTTTCTTTATTAAGGTATTATATATGTGTCCTTATCTCCCACTGCCCCCCTTCCCCAATTTTCCCACTCATGCCCTATTTTCTTTTTCTTTTCTTTTTTTTTTTTATATATATTTTATTGATTTTTGTACAGAGAGGAAGGGAGAGAGAGAGTTAGAAACATCGATGAGAGAGAGTCATCGATCAGCTGCCTCTTGCACACCCCCTACTGGGGATATGCCCGCAACCAAGGTACATGTCCTTGACCGGAATCGAACCCGGGGCCCTTCAGTCCCCAAGCCGACGCTCTATCCATTGAGCCAAACCGGTCCCGGCCCTATTTTCTTTTCTTTTTTTTTTTTTTTTTTTTTTTAAATTTATTTATTTATTTATTTTTACATATTTTAATGATTTTTTTTTGCCCCCTCCCTCCCTCCCCCATATCCCCTCCCTCCCCATAGTTTTATGTCCATTGGTTGTACTTATATGCATGTATACAAGTCCTTCGGTTGATCTGTTATCTCCCCCAGATCCTCCTCCCCTCCCCGCTGTAATTTGACAATCTGCTTGTTGCTTTACTGTCTCTATATCTATCTTTTGGTTCATCAGTTTATAATGCTCTTTATTATCCACAAATGAGTGAGGTCATGTGGTGTTTCTCTTTCATTGATTGGCTTATTTCACTCAGCATGATGTTCTCCAATTCCATCCAGGTTGCTGCAAATGATGAGAATTCCTTCTTCTTTATGGCAGCATAGTATTCCATTGTGTAGATGTACCATAGTTTTTGGATCCAATCATCTGCTGACGGGCACCTAGGCTGTTTCCAAATTCTGGCTATTGTAGATTGTGCTGCTATGAACATAGGGGTGCATATATCCTTTCTGATTGGTGTTTCTAGTTTCTTGGGATATATTCCTAGGAGTGGGATACACAAAAATAAACTCAAAATGGATACAGGACTTAAACATCAGACGGGAAACCATAAAAATACTAGAAGCATCCTCAGGCAGCAAAATCTCAGACGTATGCCAAAAGAACTTCTTCACTGATACTGCCCCTAGGGCAATGGAAGCTAAAGAGAAAATAAACAAATAGGACTACATCAAAATAAAAAGCTTTTTTACAGCAAAAGAAACCATCAACAAAACAACAAGAAAGCCCACTGTGTGGGAGAACATATTTGCAAATAACACCACTGATAAAGGTTTAATCTCTAACATCTACAGACAGCTGATACAACTAAATAAAAGGAAGATGAATGATCCAATTAAGAAATGGGCAAGGGACCTAAATAGAATATTTTCAAAAGAAGACAGAAGGAAGGCCAAAAGGCACATGAAAACATGCTCAAAGTCACTAATTATACGAGAGATGCAAATCAAAACAACAATGCGGTACCATCTCACACCTGTCAGAATGGCCAACATCAACAAATCGACAAACGACAAGTGTTGGCGAGGTTGCGGAGAAAAAGGAACCCTCGTGCACTGCTGGTGGGAATGCAGACTGGTGCAACCACTGTGGAGAACAGTGTGGAGTTTCCTCAAAAAACTGAAAATGGAACTCCCATTTGATCCAGTAATCCTATTTTCTTTTTATTAGCTGGAAATAGGAGATTTAGAAAGCTTAGAAACTTGACCCAACTCAAAAAAAGTAAGAAATGGTGGATCTTGAAAATGACTTCAGGTTTTCTTACTACACAGAATATAATCAAACACTGCTGCAATTAAATATTTTACCCTTTGTTCTCCCTTCATGATCTACAATAATAATCTGCTTCATGTTGATATTTACTGCTGTGTTGCTGATAATTACCTGAAAGAAAAGTTGGGTGCAGGAAAAAGTTTAGCTAAATTAGAAAGCAGATAATTAAGCAAATATATTTATATTATTTATATTTATATTTATATTTATATTTATATTTATATTTATATTTATATTTATATTTATATTTAGAGTCAGAGTCCATAATGTCCAAAACGACCAAACAAACACTGGACAAACAGACAAACAAACACCGGAAGTCAGTCCTACAGGCACAGCAATCCTGCACTGAGTGCTGAGGAGGCTGTGGATCAATCCCAGAGAGAGGCCCAGAGAGAGAAGCAGGATCTGATTTGCAAGCCTCCGTGGCAGCGGTTGTGTTCAAATCAGTGGTTTCAGTACATTTTTCTTTTATATTTAGTGTTTGCCTTATAGTTTTAAGAACAACCTCTAGTTCTTAATTGTTGAGTTAAACTGCTATACTAGTGTTTCCCCTACAAAATGGAAAGAAACTTAGTTCTTGTGAATGTTACCTCCAGGATCCCAGCATAACTGATGTGAGAGAATGGAAACCTGTACATTATGCATCTTTTCATGGGCGACTTGGCTGTTTGCAACTTCTAGTTAAGTGGGGATGTGGCATAGAAGATGTGGACTACAATGGAAACCTTCCAGGTATCCTCAAAAGCAAATATTTTATATTTTCACTAATGTAAGCTTTTAAAATGTTGATCATGTTTTAAGTTAAACTGTCATCATGCTAACAGTCCCTCACAAAATGTAAGTAGTAAATATGTTAATATGAACATTTTTTAAATCTTATATTATTCCTATTATATGCCTGTCATGTGACCAATTTCTTTTTCTGGAACTATACCAGCAAAAGAGAAATTGGCAAAATTAAACTTGGATTTTCTCTTCTAGCTAGTAGTTTCCTTCGTTTACTGCCAAGAGTTATTATTATTATTATTATTATTATTATTATTATTTTTTAGCTTTATACATCTCTGTTCCACAGACTACTTTATTTTTAATTTTTAAATATATTTTATTGATTTTACAGGGAGGAAGGGAAAGGGATAGAGTTAGAAACATCGATGAGAGAGAAACATCCATCAGCTGCGTCCTGCACACTTACTGGGGATGTGCCCGCAACCAAGGTACATGCCCTTGACCGGAATTGAACCTGGGGCCTTTCAGTCCACAGCCGATGCTCTATCCACAGAGCTAAACCAGTTAGGTTATTTTTTAAATGTGTTTATTGATTTTTAGAGAGAGAAAGAGAAACATCAATTTGTTGTTTCACTTATTTATGCAATCATTGGTTGCTTCTTTATGTACTCAGACCTGAGGTTGACCCCACAACCTTGGCATACTGGGACAATGCTCTAACCCACTGAGCTACCCGGCAAGGGTTTCGACAGACTACTTTTTAAAAAGTATAATAGTGGACACTAGTGTATATGAGTTAATCAACTGGCCAGGTGAGATATATACTTTAAAAACTGTATCTTCTTTTTAAAAAAATATATTTTTATTGATTTCAGAGAGGAAGAGGGAGAGAAAGAGATAGAAACATCAATGAGAAAGAATCATTGATTGGCTGCCTCCTGCACGCCCTCTACTGGGGATCGAGTCAGCCACCATGCATGTGCCCTTAATGGGAATCAAACCCAGGATCCTTCAGTCCGCAGGCCACTAGGGTACTGTGTCTTCTTCTAAGAACTGCTGTAGAAATTCATTAGAGGGGTAGGTTACAGTGAGACTGGAGTGAGAGTTACTAAAATGATACTTGAATTATGTCTTAAAGAAATTTTTAGCAAACAAATGAATGGGAAGTCTTTGCAGAAGTGTATGATCAGGATTGATTCAGTCTCTTTGCTGTTTAAAATCCCCTAGTTCCCTGTAGAGCTTTGATTCCTTACCTTGGCATGCTGGGTCTTCATTATTTGGCTCTTACCTATCTACCTTCCTGGCCTCATCTCCACCCCTTTACACTGCTATGTGTAATCATTTCGCTTCTTTCTTCAAAAAAAAAAAATTTTTTATTTTTATTGATTTCAGATAGAGAAAGGGAAGGGAGAGAGAGGTAGAAACATCCATGATGAGATAGAATTATTGCTCAGTTGCCTCCGGCTCACCACATACTAGTGATCAAGCACACAACCTAGGCATGTTCTCTGACCAGGAATTGAACCAAGGCTTCCTGGTTCTTAGGTCGACACTCAATTACTGATCCACACTGATCTGGCTGAAGTATATCCTTTAATGTTCATTTAGTCAAGGTCTGTTGTATACAATTTTTCAGTTTTTGTGTTTCTCTAAATGATTATTTGCTATCATTCTTTTTTTTAAAATAATTTTTGAATAAAGTTTAAAAAATAAATTTATTTGTGTATATGGCGTAACAGTTTCATGTTTTGCATGTATATGTCCAGTTTTACCAACAATATTTATTGAAGAGATTGTCCTTTTCCTCTTGTATATTCTTGTCTTCTTTGTTATAGATTAAGTGACCACATAAGTGTGGGTTTATTTGTCTCTTCTGTTCTGTTGATCTTTGTCTTTTTTGTGCCAGTACTATACTGTTTTGATTTCTATGGCTTTGTAGTATAGTTTGACATCAAGGAGCATTATACCTCTAACTTTGTTCTTTCTCAATATTGCTTGGGTTATTCGAGGTCTTTTGTGGTTTAATATAAATTTTAGGATTATTTGTTGTAAGTATGTGAAAAATGCCATTGGTATTTTGATAGAGATTACATTGAGTTTGTAGATTACTTTGGGTAATATAGATAATCTCTGTCCCATGGTATTAATTTGTGTTGTCTTCAGTTTCCTTCATAAAAGTCTTAACAGTTTTCAGAATACAGGTATTTTACCTTCCTGGTTAAATTTATTCCTAGGTATTTTATTCCATTTGATGCAATTGTAAGTGGAATTGTTTTCTTAATTTCTCTTTCTGATAGTTTGTTATTAGTTGATTAAAGTCTTAAATATAGGTCCTAATACCTAGTAGAAAACAGGCAGTAAACTTTGACATTGAGCTTAGAGATATTTTTTTGGATATGTCTTCTTCAGCAGGGACAGCTCCCATGGAAGCAGCTCGGCTGCTGGTGGCATGCTGCGGTTCCTGCTGGCTGCTGTGGAAACGGTGGTTGGCCTAATGTGCGTAATAGCATGCAATGGGCTACTAGATAACGTTTATGGAAAAGTGACAAAATACATAGTGATAAAAATAACATCAGTCATATTTGCATAGTTACTATTTTGGCTTATTTCCTTTTTTTTTTTTTGCAAAATATTTAAGAATTTTGTCTATCATTTATCTCTCTTACATAACAAGCATTTTCTCATGTAATGATAAGCTGCATAACTGGGATTTCACTTTCCAAGAAAACACTCTGGGGTCTGCTCTTTGGTGACCCTCCTCTGGCCTCTCCACACTTATAATAAGTATTGCTTTGGCATGACTAGAAGGACGAGTAAGGACATACAGGTTGGAAAAATATATATTCTCTTGCTCAGAGTATGTCCCTGTGAGGATTAGAGACAATGTATTATTTATTTTTTATGACTACTTTATTGCCAACTTAAAAATGAAATTCTTTTCTCTCTCTCACATATAGTTCACTTAGCAGCCATGGAAGGCCACCTTCACTGTTTTAAATTTCTACTCAGTAGAATGAACAATGCAACACAAGCTTTAAAAGCCTTCAATGACAATGGAGAAAATGTGCTGGACCTGGCCCAGAGGTTTTATAAGCAGAATATTTTACAGTTTGTCCAGGGGTCTGAGTATGAAAGAAATGATCCAAAAGATCAGGAAAGTAAGTAATAAACCTGAATTGTTTTAGCATTTAATATGTAGAATAAATGGAAAAGGAAAAGAAAAAAGTTGTAAGTTAAATATTAAAATATGTTACATACATTGTCCATATATTTATACAGTTTCTTATGTTTATTGAGGAATATTTTAGGCAGAAATGTACAGAGATTAATATAATGAGTAATCTTCATACCATTGGATTTAAGAATAAAATAGTTGTTGCTAATCCAGCTGGAGATGGGGAGGGAAAAGAGTATATGCCAAGAAATAGAGATTTTCAAAGTCTAATTTGAACTCATCACTTTTGCTAACTTTCCATTGACAAGGGTTTAGTTACCTGGCCATATACTAGTATAACTAGGAGCCTGGTGATTTTGCCACCTAGATGAGAAGCATCATCTCAGCTGCAGCTTGCTTTCTAATGATGGAGAGGGATTTTAGTAGACAACTAGCAGTCTTTCAAACTTCTTTTAAAACTTTATAAAAATGGCCGAAACCGGTTTGGCTCAGTGGATAGAGCATCAGCCTGCGGACTGAAAGGTCCCGGGTTCGATTCCAGTCAAGGGCATGTACCTTGGTTGCGGGCACATCCCCAGTAAGAGGTGTGCAGGAGGCAGCTATTGATGATTTTCTCTCATCGATGTTTCTAACTCTCTATTCCTCTCTGTAAAAATCAATGAAGTATATATTAAAAAAAAACCACTTTATAAAAATGGCATAAAAGGGTATGTATTCTTTTATGACTTAACTTCTATGACATATTTTTTTAGATTAGGTTGATAGATGTATCATAGTTGTTTTTTTTTTAATATATTTTATTGATTTTGTACAAAGAGGAAGGGAGAGAGATAGAGAGTTAGAAACATCGATGAGAGAGAGTCATCGATCAGCTGCCTCTTGCAGACCCCCTACTGGGGATATGCCCGCAACCAAGGTACATGCCCTTGACCGGAATCGAACCCGGGACCTTGCAGTCCCCAAGCCGACGCTCTATCCATTGAGCCAAACCGGTTTCGGCCATAGTTTTGGTTTTTTAAATCCTCACTGGAGGACATGCTAAGAGAGAAGCATCGATGCAAGAAACTGATGGAAAAAAAGAGTATATGCCAAGAAATAGAGATTGCTTTATGAACATATCCTGACTTGGAATTGAACCAACAGCCCTTCAGTGCACAGGACCATGTTCAATTGAGCCACTCTGGCCGGCTGCTTATTGATTTTAGAGAGAAGAAAGGATAAGGGAGAGAGAGAGAGACGAGGAGGGAAGAAGAGAAAAAAATATATCGATGTGAGAGAGAAACATCTGACAAAGAATATAGGTATAATTTTGATTCATTCATTGGATAGCTATTATTGTGTTGGTTGTTGTCATTTTTAAAAATTTGACAGTCTAAGCCGTAGGGGTTGTCGAACTCAATCAGAGAAGGGGCCAAAATCTAAAATCCAGCCTAAATCGCGGGCTGAATGGTTTACTGAACAGTCATAAACTGTCATTGTGATGGAAACGCAGCGGAGTGCAGTGATGACAGGGCGGTGCGGGCCACATTGCAAGGCCTGGTGGGACGGATTTGGCCCGCGGGCCTTGTGTTTGACACATGTGGAAGGGAAAAGAGGTCAGTGCCCCTGACTAAATAGTCGGGTATTGCATCTTCTAATAAGTCTTGCAGCACATCTGTTGAAAATTGCTGATATAGATTAGTTTGATTTTTTAAATTAATAATTTTGAATTTTATATATATATAAAATGAACTACAAAATTTTATATATATATATATAAAATTCAGTAGTTCATTCCTTTTTATCTCTAAATAGTATTCTATTGTATGAATGTATATGTTTTATCAATTCACCTGCTGATGAGTATTTGGATTGCTTCCAGTTTGGGCTGTTATTAATAATAGAGATCTGCTCTGAACATTTACATAGACATATGTTTGCATTTTTCTTGTTAAATACATAGGAGTGGAACATAACATTAAAGAGTTGTCTAATTGTTTTCCAAAGTAATTGGATCACTTTACATCCCCATCAGATATGCAAGAGAATTATATTTGCTTCATGGAATTCCCAGCATTTGATATGGTCATGTTTCATTTTAGCCATTCTAATGAATGTGAAGTGTTACAGTATTGTGGTTTTAATCTACCTTTTCCTGATAACTAATGATATTGAGTATCTTCTTATATGGCTATTCATGTATCTTCTTTTATGAAGTGTCCATTTAATTCTTTTACCCATTTTTATTGGATTGACTACTAATTATTGAATATTTGACAGTTTATTATGTTTTGTAAGATATATGTATTGTAAATATTGTCTCCCACTCTGAAGTTTGCATTTTTGTAATAGTGTCTTTCAAAGAGCAAAAAATTTAAATTTTGATAAAGTACAATTTATCAATATTTTACAGGTTATGTGTTTTTTGTGTCCTATCTATGAAATATTTGCTTACCCCAAGGTCAGCAAAATATTCTCTATTCTCTAGCAATTTTACAATTTTAGCTTTTTAATTCATATCTTTGATCTCTACATCAAGTTAAAGTTGATGTTACTGAATGAAATAAAGTGTAGATTTTACTTTATAAAAATATAGCCACTTGTCCTAACTCCATATTTTTGGAAAGAAGTTTTATAAAAAAAAATCAGCCATGTGTATATGTATAGGTGTATTTCTGGCCTCTGCATTCTATCTATCATACTAATATATCTGTTTATTTGCTAGTACTACCCTGTCTTGATGACTATTGCTTTATAGTGAGGCTGTAAGTTTCAAACTTTGTTCTTTTTAACATACTCTTTGGCTATTCTAAGTTTTTTTTCCCATATGTAAAAATGAGAATAGATGTATCTCAGAGTTGCTAAAAGGCTTAAATGAGGCAATCCTTGAAAGTGCTTACAACTGTGCCTGGCATTCAGCAAGGGCTCAATAAATGTAGTAGTTATTAAATTTTTTTTATCAAGTATTTGCTACTGGAGGCCCAGTGCATGAATTCATGCATGGGTGGGGTCCCTTGGCCTAATCTGTGATTGGGGCTGATTTGAGGGGGCCGGCATGCTGGGGGGGAGGGACCATGGGAGGTTGGCTCCAGCAGCAAGCTAACCAATGGCAGATTCCTCAAGGAATTGGGCTTCCTCCTCCCCTCTTCCCTCCTATCTGGGTCCAGGGTGCAGGGCTCACTCCCAACTGCTCCTCCTGCTGGCCTGATCACCACAACTGCCCTCCCCTTCTGGTCTAATCTCCCCTAACCGCCTCTGCCTCAGCCCCACCACCATGGCTTTTTCTGGAAGGATATCAGGAAGGTCTCTCAGAAGGTCTCCTGGTCTAATTAGCATATTATCCTTTATATTAGTATAGATTAGAGGCCCAATGCATGAAAATTTATGCAAGAGTAGGTCTTCCTTTCCTTGGCTGCCAGCACTGGCTTCCCTCTGGTACCCAGGACCTGGGCTGTTTGTTAAATACATAGGATTGGAGCATAACATTAAAAAGTCCCTCTGGCACCCAGGTCAGGGCGCCAGCAGCAAGCTAACTAATGGTGAGGAATCGGGCTCCCTCATCCCTCGTGTCTGGGCCCGCCGGGGTGCAGGTGAACCAGATTTGGGGCCGTCAGGGCCCCAGCAGCAAGCTAAGGCACTGCTGATTCTGCGAGGAATTGGGCTCCCTCTTTCCTCCTGTCTGGGTCCGGGATGCGGATGAATCAGATTTTGAGCTGTCAGGGCCTCAGCAGCAAAGTCTGGATTAGTGTGTGTCATAGCTACTATCTGGTCGTTCCACTTGTTCTGGTCCTTCAGTTGTAATGGTCGCTTAGGCTTTTATATATATAGACTAGAGGCCTGGTGCATGAAATTCATGCATAGTGGCAGGGGTTCCTCAGCCCAGCCTATACTCTTTCCAATCTGGGACCCATCCGGAGATGTCCTCTTAGAATCCGGGATGACTGGCTCCTAACCATATGCCTATCTGCCTGCCTGCCTGCAGTTCAGCCTGCTCGCCTGCTGTGTGCGCAGCCTGGCGTTTGGTCGAGCCTTCAGTCATTTTGGATGTTACGAGCCTGGCTTTTTATATATAGACATGCTAGGCACTAGTAGATCAGGTACATCCACACATGTGTGTGTGTGTGTGTGTATATATATATATATATATATATATATATATATATATATATATGTATATATATATGTATGTATATATATATGTATGTATTTGTATATACACACATATATAGGTATATGTGTATATACCTATACTTTATTTGCTTACCGTTTACTTTCTTCACTTCCTTACAAACAGAGGGAAAGGGTGGTTTATGCTAATGTACAAGTTGAGCCAAGTATGTCTTATTCAAAGGGTCAAAAATGACTATCTCTTTGTGTTTTGTGGTAAAAAGGAATATGACTAAGAATAGTTCTGATATATCTAATACTACTCCTAGCATGTTTGAGGTCCTGAGGGGTGGAAAGCCTACTCAGTTAATAATAATCTTATTTTGTGGTTCTCTTTTTATTACTTTATTGTTAAAAGAACTATTTCCAATATAACATTCTCATACTTCAGTTAATATTGAAATCTAAAATTTGCAACCACTTAAGGCAGGAAAAAAGAATGAACTCATGTGTTTACTGAGATGCTGAATTTTTTATTCATAGGTTTAGCATTTCCAGGTCACGTGGCTGCCTTTAATGGTAATTTGGAAATGCTTAAGAAATTAATAGAAGATGGAGTAATCAATATTAATGAACGTGATAATAATGGATCAACTCCTATGCATAAAGGTGAGTTATGATTCTTGTTTAATTTTCAATTCTGACACAATTGCTGTTGAATTATTTACCTTTTATAATAATTACCCATCAGGAATATGAAAATGCATGGCAGAGTACTTAATTTTTATTTTATTTTGTTTATTTTAATTAAAATGTTTTAATTGATTTGAGAAAGAGAAAAAGAGAGAAAGGAACATCAATTTGTTGTTTCACTTGTTTATACATTCATCAGTTGATTCTTATATGTGCCCTTACCAGGGATACAACCTTATTATAATTTTATGAATCAGCAATGTAAATCACTACTACTTTATAAATATGAAATTATCTGTGTAAAAGATGAGGAAATTGAGGTTCAGAGACCCTAGGTTTTTTGACTGAGTTACACAGTTGGTAAGAGCAGAGCTTAGATTTCATTTACTTTTTTTCTTTATTCATTCACTCATCAACTCTATAGACATTTGTTGCAGGTCTGTATGTGCCAGCCACTTGCTAAATTCTATTCTGTCCTTCTGTCTCATTGTTTAATAGACCTAAATTCAGTGCTTTTAAGTCTATTAAGTCCCCCATCCCAGTTTCCCTTAATCTTGAGATAGACTTTGAAGAATGGGTAGAAGTCAGATAAGCATAGAGTTGAGTGACACATTTGCAGCGTTGTGGAGGTGAAAATTAACATTGTTGTGGAGGTGAAAATTAATATCGAGTGCATGTATCTTAAGGACAAGATTTAGAAAAAGGTGTAAACAGTTTAGGTAATTGGGGACCTATAAATTTTGAGTTATGAAGTTCAGAGGATTAAGTTTTGTGATACAAGGTGTGATATAAGATTGGTCAGGAGCTATAAATATCAGCAAACACTCAATAAGGATTATAAAAAAACTAGATTATAGTTTCAAATCCATTACTTATTAACTGTGTGATGTTAAAGAAATAACTTCTTTGAACCTCAACTTTTATATCTGTATGTAAAGTTCTCTGTATAGGTGATGAGCACAGTATATATTTGATTACATGCTTGTCTGATGAATGAATAATTGAAATGGTGAAAATTACATCTGTTCAATTTATAGGTTATTGGAAGTATCAGTATTTATAAAAGTACTCTCTAATGGTGTTTAAAATTACTAGTAACAATTTTTTGTGTATTTTCTGTTTGTTTTTTACAGCTGCTGGACAAGGTCACATAGAATGTTTGCAGTGGATAATTAAAATGGGAGCAGACAGTAATATTACCAACAAAGCAGGGGAGAAACCCAGTGATGTGGCTAAGAGGTATTCCTATCTGCTTTACTTTTTTCCCTTGATTTTGTTTTTAAAGTTTTGCATATACTCTGTTATACTTAAATGACATTTCAAATGCTGATAGAATTACAATATTCAAGCTGAATAGACATTTGACAGTACATCAACTCTTTTCTCTAAAGCAGTGATTCTCCACTGGGAGGTAGTATTGTCCCCTTTCCTGTATGAGGGGCTTTTGGAAATTTGGGTTTGTCACAATGACTAGCAACCATTTATATATATAAAAGCTAAGAGACCAAAACATTGCAATGACCGGAATGTCCAGTCGCTATGATGTGCACTGGGAAGGTGGGTGGGGACTTGACTCTGGGTGTTGCAGCACACCCCAGACACTAACAGGAGGAAGGTTTTCATATACATTTTACAAATTTTCTTTCATCTCTGACACTTCTATTATAGAGAAAGGGCAAATAGCAATATTAAAATATTTCTAATTAATTCCCTTTTAATGTGCACGAATTTCATGCACCAGGCCACTAGTAATATATCATGTAAAAGCCTAAGTGGCCAGCCAACCAGTCAGTAGCTATGATGCACAATGACCACCAGGGGCAGATGTTCAATGCAGGAGCTGCAGAGCAATAGCAGCTTTGCAGAGTGTCCTCTTGCACTCTGGGATCCCTCAGGGGATGATGGACTGCCAGTTTTGGCCCAATCCCTCAGGTCAGCCCAAGGGACCCCACCTGCTGGAGGGACCCCGCTCACTCCGCAGATGCCCTTTGAGCCCCAGTGCTGCCCCAGGTGCGGGCAGCCTGGGAGGGACTGCAGAAGGTTAGCTCCAGGGTGTGTCCAGCCCATCTTGCCCAATCCCGCCCTTCTGGCTACCTTCTAATTAATTTCCTTTCAGTGTGCACAAATCCATACACTGGGCCTCTAGTAATGTAATATAATTATTATAATTAACAATAATTATGTTTACATATAATAATTACTATAATTAATAATTATTAATACAATAATTATAATTTATCACTCCACAAGATGCTAAGCTCCTTCGAGGGCAAGAACTGTGTTTTTTCATCTTTGTAACACTAACACTAACCATACCATTTGGGACATGATAAGTATAATAAAGTTGAAAAAAAAAACAGCCCTAGCTGGTTTTCTTAGTGGCTAGAGCATTGGCCCATGAATTGAAGGGTTGTGGGTGCAATTCTGGTCAAGGGCACGTATCTCGTACCTCAGTTGCAGGCTCAATCTCTGGTCCTGGTTGGGGCACACCTGGGAGACAACCAATCGATGTGCCTCTCTCACATCAATGTTTCTTTCTCTTTGTTTTCCCCCCTCCCTTCCACTCTCTAAAAAAATCAATGGAGAAAAATATTCTTTGGTAAGGATTAACAACAAAAACAAACTAACAAATAAAAGACAAACAAACAAGCAAAAAACAAACAAAAAAAAAACAAACAAAAAAAAACAGCTCACAACAAAATTAAAAAATGGACTAAATATTCCTTGAGGACCTGAGACCAAAATTTGTTTCAAAACCCATGAAACTCCTTTTGATTAGCTCTATCATACAATATTTCTCAAGAGGTGCCAGCATTTGAATGGGATGATTTATATGTTATTCACCACTATTCTTAGTCCTCTAGAACATTTTGCATTTAAGTATTCGTGGACCTGGCCTCACTAAATATTAGTGACTAGAGGCCCGATGCATGAATTTGTGCACAGGTGGGATCAGGCCAACACGCTCCAATGAAGGCCAATGCAATTACAACAACTCCAAAATCAAAGGTATATTATTTGAAGCTTCAGAGATGTAGGAAATAGCAAAGAAAATATGGATGGAAAGTCATTTTTTTTCTATTAAATTTCAAAGCCATGTCAAGTGCTTTGGGTTGGAGAAGAATCAAGAATAAGGGGAGATGGGGGGAAGAATAAGGATGCTAGAGCTATAGTTAGCCCTAAAATTGGAACCATAACTAACTAATTCTACAGTCTAAATTAGGCCATCAGAAAAAGGTAGTAAGTGCAGGTGATCAAATAGGGTGGTTTTGAACTTTCTGTTCAATTTAGCAATTATCTTGGGTCTCCTCTTTCAGTTGGGTTTTTGCCAATAAAAATTGATGGAATCTGTCTTTAATCATCTCCTGTCCTTAGTGTCGAATAACAGTTTCCCATGTACTACTAGCTGGATATAGTATATCAAATTGGCACTGATATTCAGGTACAGTTTTGCTCCTTTACTGAATGGGTGGGTTGGTGGCATAATGTACAAAGTGTAATTACTTAAATTAAGTTCAAACTGTAATTCCAGTTTGAAAATTGGTTCTTGTTCATTGTTGATTCTTTTCTACAGGTTTGCCCATTTAGCAGCAGTAAAGCTTTTAGAGGGGCAACAGAAATATGATATAGATGATTATGAAATTGATGAAGATGATATGAAGTGTTTTATAAGACATGGTGTTGAGGGAAGCACTGATGCTAAAAATGATTTATATCTTAATGAGTCGGATAAAACAGATGCCAGAAGTAAGTGGTGCCAATTCTTTTGTGATTTGTTCTTTAAGAAATGCCATAGCCATTGTCTTTTCCACAAATTTTAAAATTATCCTAAAGATAGCTATTATCTATAAAGTAAAATACTTTCATTTTGGGGGGAACCAGAACTATAATTTTGGTACTAGGTGTTGTTGAACATATAAAAAATGTAAGATATGATCTCTTTCCCTCAAAGAGGAAAATGTTATATAAGAGGAAACATTATTTAAGTGGATCATAGGAAACAGGAAGAGACATCCCAAGGATTTCCATGGTTAGTTGGCAAATGATTTTTACAAATAATAATAACAGCAAATATTTGTTGTCTACAATGTGCCAGATACTGTTGTAGTTATTGGAGAAACAGTGAACAGTATAACATCCCCAGCATCACCCAGAATTTACATTCTGGTTATGTGGTGGTGACAGATAATAAGAAAATAGATACATAAAGAAAATAAAGTAGGGTGGTGCTATAGATAAGAGCCATTAGAGCCTCTAAGGGAGTGACATTTGAGAAGAGACCTGAGCCTGTAGATGCTAGTAACCTATTCCTCTCCACCCATCAAGTTCATAAGCAACAATGTATGCAGATGATATTATATGTCCTTAAGGGAGAAAATCACCCCAGGTAATGTCTGCTAGACTGGAGGATGCCTAGTATTTATTTCTTCCCATTGCCTCTCTGCTTGTCTGTCTGCTTTTCAGAATGGACACACAGGATAGAAGATTCGATAGTTAGAGAATAGCTAAAAGCAGCTCTCAACACATTTCCTTCCCTCAGTATCCTTTTGCATAGATATTACAAATAACTAATCATAAAATTTGGGAGCTGGGCTAGTTCTTATTTTAAATAAATGCAGCAGATTTCAATTTTTTATATATATTTTGTCATATAATAGATTATCCTCTAAACCACTGCTAGTCTTTGAACTTCCTTGTTCATAGTTCTAAGTGTCATAACAATCTGATACATCCTCCAAGAGCAGGAGGAGAACCTTTCATTTAGGTTTATCATTGCTTGTTCATCTAAGTATTATTTGCTGATATTTATCCTTCTGTGTGTATGCCACCATCCTCCTCCTCCCCAAACCACACAGACACTGGCTTGAGAGGAAGACTAGGCTCCAGGATGAGCATCCTGTGAGCACCTGTCTAAATTAGGTTTCTATGCAACTCTGTCTTGCAGTGAGAGCTTATAAGAAAATTGTAGAATTGAGACACCTCCTGGAAATTGCTGAAAGCAACTATAAACACTTGGGAGGGATAACAGAAGAAGACTTAAAACAGAAGAAAGAACAGCTGGAGTCTGAAAAGTAATGTCCTCCAAATTTTAATGGTTTCTTTTTAGTTCTCTCTCTAAATGCCATGTGAGGGTTTGTTGACCAACAACTTGTTTTTTATCCCCACCAAAGGGCGTAAGAGTCTATCCTGTTTGGAGGAGGTATTAAGATTTTTGTGTGTGTGTGTGTTAAAATACACATAACATAAAATATAGCATCTTAACCATTTTTAAGTACAATTCAGTAGTGTTAAATAGAGTCACATTTTTGCACAACCTAGCTCCAAAATTCTCTTCTTCTTGTAAAATTGAAATTCTAAAGAGTTGTTTTTGTTGTTGTTGAGATCATAGCTACGTTGAGCTTTTCAACCAACACATCTATAACCATCCCTATCAAATTGGACTGCTTATTTATGAATCTGAGGCCCAGGGTTGTAGAACCTCGTCAGAGGTTCTGTGTCCAGAGGCATTGAGCAGTTGTATCCTTTACTCCCTGCTTCCTAAGTTGGCTCTGCACATTTGGTGCCTTTCTACTTAATTAATGTTTTTTGGAATAGAGGATGCCTTTATTTCTTCCCACTGCCTCTCTGCTTGTCTGTCTGCTTTTCAGAATGGATAGTGAACGTAGGGAGACAGGGGAGAAGACTTTTAATCAAAACTTGGGTCTGTAAAGAGGATTCTCCTCTTTTTCTGCTCTCTCTTTTGGTTGGGTGTCTTTTCCTCAGATTCTTAGAACCTCCTGCTTCCCTTTTCTCTGTCTTCTTCTGAATATAGACTCAGTAAGAGGTCTGGTAAATGCATTCAGAGTAATATCTAAGTTTTTGATAAGGGTTAATATTGTTATCCTTCCATGGGTACTTGGGAATTTGAGTAAAAGACAAAGCTTAAACCAAAATACTCTTATCTTTTAGTGGGATTTTAGATACTAGAAAACTGGGGCAAAATTTAACTTTTTTTTTTTTTTTTTTTTTTAAACAGGGTCCTTGTTGATATCTCACAAATCACATTGTTTAGTTAGCTGTCTATTTCCTCTGTATTGATTACAGTATTCTAAGATATGGAATATTTTTGTATAGGCCTTTATGAAAGAGCCTAACTGAATGTTTTTGGATCCCTTCACAGTGGAACAATTCTTTCCTAGATAATGAGTTTTAAACTTTGGTTTCTGTTGCTTTTCTTCCTGGCAGTTTACTATACTATTGCTACAGCTTCTCCACTCCCACCCCTCTTTTTTTTTTTTTTTTTTTTTTTTTTTTTAAGATTCTTCATTTCATATGTCTCTTAGCCTTCCTTATGTCTTCTTTTGAAAAGTATCTTTTTTTTTTATTGGGTTGTTTATCCTCCTTTTTTAAAGTTGTACAAATTCCCTATAAATTTTGGAGAGTAGGCCCTTATAGGATATAACATTGGCAAATATGTTCTCCCATGTAGTGAGCTTTCTTGTTGTTTTGTTGATGGTTTCTTTTGCTGTGCAGAAGTTTTTTTTATTTTTATGTAGTCCCATTTGCTTATTTTCTTCTTAGTTTCCATGCTATGACATATGCCTGATATTTTGCTGTCAATGGATTCTTCTAAGATTTTTATGGTTTCCCATTATGTTTAAGTCCAAATAAAAATGGCTACAAACAAGTACCTATCAATAATAAATTAAACATAAATGCTCCAATAAATGGCTAAATGGATAAGAAAATATGACCCATATATATGCTGTCTACAAGAGACCCACCTCAGAACAAGGGGCTTATATAGACTGAAAGTGAAGGGATGGAAAAATATCTTTCAGGCAGTTGGAAATGAAAAAAGAGCTAGGGTAGCAATACTTATATCTGACAAATTAGACCTCAAAGTAAATGCCATAATAAGAGGTAAGGAAGGCAACTTCATAATATAAAGGGATTGATATAATAAGAGGATATAACTGGTAAACATATATGCACCAAATGCAGGAGCATCCAAATACATTAAAAAAAACTTCTGGAAGACATCAAGGGAGAAATCAACAGCAATACAATCATAGTAGGGGACTTTAATAGCACATTGATATCATTGAATAAATCCTCTAGAGAAAAAATCAGCAAAGAAACAGCAATCCTAAATGACTCACAAGATCAGATGGACTTAATCAACATCTTCAGAACATTTCACCCAGAATATACATTCTTCTCAAGTGCACATGGAACATTTTCAAAGATAGATAACATATTGGGACACATGCAAAGTCTCTTCAAATTCAAGAAGATTGAAAATCATATCAAGCATCTTCTCAGATCACAATGGCATAATACTAGAAATAACTACAATATAAGTAATAAAAAAAATTCAAACACTTGGAGGTGAAATAGCATGTTATTAAACAATGATTGGGTTACCAAAGAGATCAAAGAAGAAGCAAAAAACATCCTGGAAACAAATGACAATGAAAACACAACAATCCAAAATGTATGGGACACAGTGAAAGCAGTCCTGAGAGGGAATTTCATAGCATTACAGGCCTATCTCAAAAAATAGGAAAAACTGGTAATAACTCTACAACTGAAAGAATGAGAAAGAGACCAACAACAAAAGCCCAGAGTGAGAAGAAGGAAGGAAATAATAAAGATCAGAGAGGAAATAAATGACATAGAGACCAAAACCACAATACAAAAGATCAATAAGCCGAAACCGGTTTGGCTCAGCGGTAGAGCGTCAGTCTGCGGACTGAAAGGTCCCAGGTTCAATTCCGGCCAAGGGCATGTACATTGGTTGCAGGCACATCCCCGGTAGGGGGTGTGCAAGAGGTAGCTGGTCAATGTTTCTCTGTCATAGATGTTTCTATCTCTCTATCTCTCTCCCTTCCTCTCTGTAAGAAAATCAATAAAATATATTAAAAAAAGAAAAAGGAATGAAATCTAAAAACAAAAACAAAAACAAAAAAACACACAAAAGATCAATAAAATCAAGAGCTGGTTCTTTGAAAGGATTAACAAGATTGATGAACCTTTAGCCAGATTCACCAAGAAGCAGAGAGAGAGGACCCAAATAAACAAAATCAGAAATGAAAGAGGTGAAATAACAACAGACCCCACAGGAATACAAAGGATTATAAAAAAAATATTATGAACAACTCTGTTCCAACAAGCTGGTCAACTAGAAGAAATGGACATATTCCTAGAAAAATACAACTTTCTAAAACTCAATTTTTCCTTTATTCAGAAAGAATAAAAAAACCTGAATAGGCTGTGGAGGAATTTGAAGCAATAATAAAAAAAAACTTTCAGCAAACAAAAGCCCTGAGCCAGATGGTTTCACAGGGGAGTTTTACCAAACATTCAGTGAAGAATTAAAACCTCTCCTCCTCAGCAATTCCAAAAAATTCAAGAGGAAAAAACCACTCTCAAGCTCTTTCTATGAAGCCAGCATTACCCTAATCCAAAACCAGATAAAGACACTACAAAGAAAGAGAATTACAAGCCAATATCTCTGATGAACATAGATGCTAAAATCCTCAACAAAATTCTAGCAAATCAGATCCAGCATTACATTAGAAAGATCATATACCATGACCATGTAGGACTTATTCCAGGGATGCAAGGATGCTAAAATATCTGCAAATCAGTAGAAACACACACACACACGCACACACACACACACTTAGCAAAAGAAAAGAAATCTAAATTCATGCCATTTCTCTGCTCAGACCCTCCAATGACTTCCCATTTTACTGAGAGTAAAAGCTCTACTTTACTGGATTCCTTTTACCTCTCTGACCTACTATCCCTTTTTATACTTGATTCCAATCACATGGCCTCTGGTTGTCTTTCAGGTCACCAGGGATACTTCTGATGTAGGGCCTGTGGACCTGCTTTTCCCTGTGGAATGCCCTTCCCCCGGATGTCTGCTTGATTATATCCCTCATTTCTTTAGAAATGTGCTCAGAAGCACCTTTTCAGTAAGGCCTTCTCTGCCACTGTGTATGAGATGTTAATGCCCTCTTCAATAACATTTTATATGACTCTTTCTTGCTTTATTTTTTCTCCCTTAGCATTTATCAACTTCCAACATACCATAATTACTTATTTTCTTTCATGTCTGTCTTCCTCCACTGCTAAGGCAAGACCTTGAGGGCATATTTGGTCCATTTGGTTTACTGCTGATCCCCATCTAGATTATTGCTGGTGTATGCAGCTTCTAAATACATATTTGTCGAATACAGAGTTATTTTTTGATTTGCCTTAAATACAGTGCATGGATGCTTTTCACTATTATCAAAATCATATTTAGTTCATATTGGGACTGGCTGAAAACAAACTCTGTTTTTGACAGGACTATCCAAGAGCTGCAGGACCAGCTGCAGTATGAACGACTACGGAGAGAAAAGCTAGAAAGTCAGCTGGATGAGTATCGAGCAGCGGTGGATCAGCTCAGGGAGAACCTGGAAGATATTCAGGTCCCCAGTCTCATGGCAGTGGTTAGTGTCCTTCTTAACACCCTGATCTTTCTCAAGAAGTAGTATACAAGAGTAGTGAAGAGTTCAAGTTTGGACTTGGGGATATCTGGATTTGAATCCTGGCTTCAACCTTTTTTTATTTGAACTAATCATTTAGCTTCTCTTTGCCTTAGTTGTAAACTGGAGGTAATAATTTATATTTTCTAGAGTGTTGTAAGTATATAAATGAATATATATCTATGTATATTCCTTCATATATATATAATAATAAAAGGAGGGTAATATGCTAATTAGACCAGACGTCCTTCCAGGGTGCCAAGTGCCAGAGGGAAGCGGTGCTGGCAACCTGGGGAAGGAAGGCTACTCTTGCATGAATTTTGGGAATTGGGCTTCTAGTACACACATATCTATATCTATCTATATTTATATATATATTGGTTAGAACAGCAGCCTGGCTCATAAAAAGTTCAGTAAGTGTTACTGTTCTTATTATTGCCCCATATAAGGAAAAAATACTTGCAGAATAATCAATAAGAATTCTAAGGCAATTAGAGAGTATATATATATATATATTTAACATTCTAAATAGCCAAAATAAAGTGCTTTGAGTGGAATCCATATAAGAAAGTGTCAGTTTCTCGAAAGAGCAATTTTAAGAATAGAAAGCAAGCATGGAAGTTGTCATAGTATCCCTTTGTTCAGATTACATTCGCAACACTTACAAAGTTCTGACACATATTATGACATGTCATTAGATCTGCCCTCATTTAACATCTGAGGAAACTGAGGCTCAGAGAGCAGAGTTGTCTAGTTATGGTGGGATCAGTATTCAATCTCTAACTTTTGATTCCATAGCCTTAGCTCTTTTCATAATTCCCAACTGGAACTATGAATTTGGAATATAGGAAAATGCTTATAGTTATAGATGAAAAGGACAAATCTCTAGAAGGAACGAATATGGAAACAGATACAAAGAACAAATACAGAAAAGCAGGTGGAGTATTTTTATAATTGAGTGATAGCGTCAGCAGGAAACCCAATGGCACTTGTATTTCAGGCCATCAGGTCTCAGTAGAAGAGGCAGAAAGTATACTGGGGAAACTTTGACCCTTGCTCCCTTCTGTGAGTGAAGACAGCCATGATGTCATCCTTGTGGACAGCTCATGTGACACAGTGTAGGGATTTGAGTATGTTACATATTTTCTTTTCACAGGAAATTTTTTCTTCAGTCATAAGGTGAGTTAGTTCTGTTCCAGGCCTGTATCATCTCAAACCTGATCTGTCAGGCAAACTTCCTAACACTATTTTATTTTAATCTAGAGTTGAAAATATTAGTATCATTAATTTTTTCTTTTGGAACAGATATAAAGATGAGATGTGTCCAGGGGTAGAAATCTTAACTTGGTTCTCTTTTTTGTCATTTGTAGGAAGATGACTCTTCTATTGAGTCAAGCAAAGAGAAGAAGCGAGTGAAGAAAAAAGTGTCTTCTAGGGGTGTTTTTGTGAGAAGGTACTAAGCAATGAAACAAATTTAAATAAACTTGCTTGATTTCTCTCTTTTATTTTAAAAATTGATATGTTAATATGTTAAACTCTTCTAAAGTTATTCTGACATACAATTACTCCAATTCTTTTTTAAAATATATATTTTATTGATTTTTTACAGAGAGGAAGGGAGAGAGATATTGTAGTTAGAAATATTGATGAGAGAGAATCATCCATCAGCTGCTTCTTGCACAGCCCCTACTGGGGATGTGCCCGCAACCAAGGTACATGCCCTTAACCAGAATCGAACCTGGGACCTTTCAGTCTGCAGGCCGACGCTCTATCCACTGACCCAAACCGGTTTTGGCTACTCCAATTCTTAAGGCAGAAATATGTTACATAAACTCAAAGGAATGTTAAAATTACACGTACTCAGTTATATTCCCCTCCCAATATATCCTCCTTATAGTTATGTAGGCAAGTCAAGATTTAGATTTATGAGTAATTAATTTACAAATATTCACATAAACTTTAAAATATAATATTAAAGTTTCCAAAGAAATATAATTCTAGATGTTAAAATTATGATATTAAAAATTATTAAAAATTCTATTATAACTTCATAATAGAATTATGTTTCTTTTATTTTCTAGAGAGTACCTTACTACTAAGGTACCTGTAGAGGGCCGCCTGGAAAGGCACATGGGCATTTCTTTTAATTATCGTCACCTGAACTCAGGGCGATAGGCAGAGCCACGCCCTGGGAACATACTTTCCCAAAGAGGCAGCACATGACATCTTGGCCTCCATATCAGTCCAGGTGTCAGGTAGGCAGGGGCGGCAGGGGTGGGTCTAGATATATAAATCCAGTCAACCTCCAGGAATGCTCTGGCCTACTTATGAAGGCAAATAAGCTCCTTTGATCCCAAGTTTTGGTGTTACTTCCTGGTATTTGGAGGTATAAAATAAATGTGCTGCATGGTTCGGGTTGTAGTGCTGCCTCTGCATCAGAGAGAATGGTGTCCCTCCTAGTTCTCAGCTTTTAAATCTGTGTCTTCCTTCCTTCCTTTCCTTTCCTTTTCTTTTTTATTTCTTTTCTTTTTCCTTTCTCCTTTCCTTTCCCTTCCTTTCCTTTCCTTTTTTCTTTTATTTCTTTTCTTTTTCCTTTCTCCTTTCCTTTCCCCTTTCCTTTCCTTTTCTTTCCTCTTCTCCCCTCTCCTCTCCCCTTTCCCCTCCCCTCTCCTTTCTCCTCTCCTCTCTCTCCTCTCTCCTCTCCTTTTCCTTTTCTCCCTCCCTCCCTCCCTCCCTTCCTTATTACTTTCTATTATTTCTCAATCCCTGGCCCGCCTCCAGTTAAAACCAGTTCATTCATCTTTCTCTCTGTGTTGGTGCGGAAAAGGGGAAGCCCCGCCATATCTGGCCCCCGCTGAATCTGGCCCCCACAGGTACATGTGTTTTTTTTTGTTTTGTTTTTTTAACTTTTCAAGTGACTTGACTTTTAAAAAGCATTTGGACTTGGGAGAAAATGCAATATAAGAACAGTAAGTTTTAAAAAAGGGACAATTTTGCAATAACAACCAAATATCTCACTCAAGAAAATTTTACAGAAGTGAAGACCAGTACTTGTAAAAGGATTTTAAAAAATACATGTGTGCTTACTAAGAAAACCCAGGTATATAACCTGCTTTAAAATTCAACTATTGTTCTGTCTTTCAAGCTCTCTAAGAAAGGAATGTAGAGACAAGGCAAATTGGGCAGAATAAAAAATACATGGTTTTATTATTTTCCCCCTCAACTTAGATGACTAAAAAAACAACAATGGAAGTTCTGACTTCAATTCCCTCCCTTTTCCTACCCGACCCCACTCCTTGACCTAGAAAAGATTTATCACTCTCCTGAGGCAATTGTCTAGATCCTGACTCCCCCTGAAGATCTGATGGCTAGCTTTGGGCTTCATTGATAGCAGCTTGTTGCTGTACATCAGACTGTCCACCCCCCAGGCCCTGGCATGTACCTTATAAGGATGCTAAAGGCTAATTGGACCCTGTTTTACCAGTTTGCCCTGACATAAGTGCATGTTATTGCTAAGACCAGTACCATGCTGGTTAAGGGTCTGTAAGACAGTATTAAACCCTTTTCATAACGTTTAGTCATTATTGTTAGCTTTTCTATAGTTCAAAAAGCTTTCAATCTGTAGTAATAATAGTTATCAAAATTTATTAGGCACTTACTATGTATGTGATTTGTGCCAAACCATTTACAAATACTTAAATATTTTAAAAAATATTTAAAACTTTTGAATATTTGAAACTTAAGATGTTACATATCTAAATTAACAGTTGATAAAATGGGCATTTTAAGCCTTAATTGTTTTTCAAATATGGTAAAAGGTTTTTATTGACTCTTAACTAGTCCTTATATAATATTGCCTGGTCTACTATCATCAAATAGTTTGAATGGGCAAGTTAGGATCTAGTCTATGGCCATAAACAAGATGAAGTTAACTAATCCTCTTGGAGACTTATCACCTACAGAAAATGCTAAAAAGGTTTAGAGTTCTCAGACTCTATAAATGAAACATTCTCATTACACCCATAATAAAATATTTAAAATATTAACAAATTGGATTAAGATTGAGGTCTATGCATATCACTTATTTCATAGGCATAAAAAGTACCTCATATATACTTAAAGGCCTTTGGAAAACTCAGTTTATTATAAGAAATAGATGTACAATAGCTGTTTTATAGTGGTGCAAGTGCTGGAATAGAGGGGTAGTTTTGAGATACAATCCTCTCATGTTTCACTTCAGATATTTCTATTCCCTAAACAAAAATCTATCTAAACTCCAAAACTAATATCAAAACAAAGTTTCCATGGGAAAGGTATAGAATCTGGAAGTAATGGGAATTGGGGATGGTGTATATATTTCTTCCATTATTGGATGCAAAGCACTTCACTACAGATGGAACACATCTATTTTACTATTAATGGCTGTGAACTGGAAATATGCATCTTTGTTTTGGTTTGAGGAGATCCAATAAATGGCCATCCCCTTCTTCCCATCTGGATTGTGAACTTAATTGAGATAAGAATAAATTGAATAGAGTCCTAAATATACCCTTTTCTATATATATAAAAGCTTAAGCTGTTATGTCTGGTTGACTGAATGACTGGTCGCTATGATGCACACTGACCACCAGGAGGCAGACACTAACACAGGAGCTGCCCCCTGATGGTCAGTGCGCTCCCATAGCCAACCTAACCTCCCACGGCCAGCCAACCTCCTGTGGTCCCTCTGCTTGAACTGAGCAAGACGGACTGAAACACATGGCCCGGATCAGCCCAGATCACTGGCCAGGCCAAGGGACCCCACCTGTGCACAAATTTGTGCACTGGGCCTCTAGTTTACTATTAAAACTGATATTGGAAAATATAGTTCAGTTCTTCAGTAAATTTTCTATCACTGAACCACAGAAAATTGGATAAACTTATTCACCTTCTCCAAGCAACATTGTACTTGGGTAGGCTGAGCCTGATCCCATAGGAGAAGAAATAGAATGAATGCTCTCTGAAGACATGCTGGTCCCAAACAGGACTGGGGAGGAAGTGGTAAAACAATTCAACAACTTCCAAGTTTCTATTTTTTGGTGGTTTGATATCTAGAGCTTACCAACCAAACTACTTTCAGAGTGTGTCTTGGGTCCTGTTTCTATTTTCAATTCACTTTACCTGGGGCAGGTGAATGATGGGAGTAAGAGTGATGACAATGTTATGCTACTGGAGTCTCTTTCATGTGGAGGAAAGAAGTATGCCCTCTCAACATTTTATTATAAATTGTGACAAGCCAATAATTTGTTTCTTGTCTGTCTTCACTAAGATAGTCAGTTCCGTAAGAAGGAAAACTGCGTTCACCTTTGTGCACAGGTGGACCAGCATGTTGTCTGGCATTCAGGAGGCATTCTATTTATTCAGTGAATGAATAGTTTGTTACAGTGGAGCCTTTTGGTCCTTATTTATTAAATCAATAAAAATTTATCTACAGTGTGCCAAGATAACTTTTGAGATGGAAATGAATCAGGACGTTCCAGGATATTAAAATTGAGTTTTGCTTTGAAAACAACCCAGTAGTTAGATCTGCGAAGAACATTTAGTTGGAGAGCCTCTGATTCTCATTTATTGGACCACATGGGCCAGTCTTTGACTTCTCTAGTCTGCACATTCCTTATTTATAACTAAACAAATGATGGGGTTATTTTTTAACATATTGAATAAATAACAGATTATCAAACTTTTAAAGCTATCGTCGAGGCATTATGAAATTTTTAGTACTTCCTGGCCTTGGCTTTTTGAAATATCTTCAATTAAAGGTCTGAGTTGAACATATTTTGTACTTTTCTTAGAACTATGTGTATATTAATAGGCACTATTATAAAGGAAAAATATATAGTAGACCCAATAGCAATAAAACCACAGTATGAGTTTCTTGAGAGAGGGATTATTTATAGACATTTATTGAATTTAACTGTCATAAGAAAAATCTTTATTTTAAGCAATAAATTTGAAGCATGGACAAACATGTTTTTGTGAATCAAAAATTTAAAAAAAATATATAATAATTAGGGCTCAAGATTAGTAACTCAACAGATTTCATATTAAGTGTCATACATTTGTACTAGGGCACACATTTAAAAATTTTCAAATTAAAAAAAAATACTTTATTGATTATTTACAGAGAAGAAGGGAGAGAGATAGAGAGCTAGAAACATCGATGAGAGAGAAACATCGACCAGCTGCCTCCTGCACACCCCCCACCAGGGATGTGCCCGCAACCAATGTACATGCCCTTGACCGGAATCGAACCCAGGACCCTTCAGTCCGCAGACTGAGCCAAACCGGCTTCGGCCAATTTGTTTTTAATTGTTCAAGAATGTATGCACCTTATGTTCATAGCATTGTTATTTACAATAACTAATATCTGTAAACAGCATAAGTTCCCATCAGTAATAAGTGGGGGGGAAAGCTGTGGTACATTTATACAGTGAAATACTGAGCTGTAAAATAGAAGGATCTCTTATCCTTTGCAACAGCATGTATGGACCTGGGGAATACTGTGCTGAGTGATATAAGCCAGTTAGAGAAAGACAAGTATCACATGATCTCACTTATATGTGGAATCTAATGAACAAATTAGTGATAGACAAAATAAGTCCAGACTTATGGATACATGGTACAGACTGACAGATCTTAGAAGGGAGAGGGATGAGAGGGACGGGAAGAGATTAACCAAAAAACTTATATGCATAGCCTTCGGTCACAGATAATAGTGTGGTAAAGGCCTAGGGTGGAATGGGGACTGAGTGGAGGGGGAGAAGTAAGAGGAGAATAGGAAACACTGGTCAACAGAAAACAAATTAAACATTTTTAAAATTGTTTTTTAATTGTTCATTATTAAAAAATCTCCATCTACAATACATTGTAAGTCACTTTAACAATCCAAACAACTTTTTAATAATATTTTATTAAATATGAAAAGGTAATTGTGTAATTACCAGGAAAGTTGCATATCAAAGTATGTAGGCAGCAGATACCAAAGAAATCCTATATGATTTACACAGTTATTCAAGCAAACACAAAACTCCAGTTCAGTTTTTATAAGCTATCAAGAAGGTAAAGACAAAAGGCCCTTCTATCTCAAATTAACCAGGTTTTGAGTGGCAGCTTTTCAACATAATAAAATAGACATTAAAAACACAAACTACATTTTATTCTAAAACATTTTTAGTCCATATGTACTTTGAATAATCTTGTTGTATTAAGTTTTGCTACAACTTTCAATGTTCAAAGTAAATCTATCCTAGTTCAGTGCTTTAAGAAGTCAATGGAAGCAGTAGTAGAAGCATAATATAATTGTTCCACTGCTATTTCCAGAATCTGTAAAATCCCAATGCTATTGCCAGGCAAGTGAACACTGAGGCTGTGAACAGAAGAAAACATGGTACAGTAGGTCATGCATTTGTGATTATTTTTTTGCAGAGAGAAACAGAATAATGTCATCTTCAACTTAAATGAACAAAAAACAAAGGGCATCCAATCAATTTTGTATCTTAGGTTTTTCATTTCCCAGAAAATGAAGCTAAAAATAAAGGATATTCTTTTGGGCAGGATACCAATTCTTCTTAAAAGCTTTCTGTATTTTAAACCCAATTAAGGATGACAGTAATTTAAAAATGTAGGTCATATGTCAGTTAGAATGTATAAATTGTTTAAATCCATTATTAATATTAGCATTAACAGTGACAATTATGAACTTTAATTTCAGATCTTGGAAGTGAAAAAACATTTCACTTATATTTAAAGTTATGTAGTTAAGTTAGTAAAACTGACATCAGATCATCCATGAGAAAATTTGCCTTTCAATACATTTAAAAATAAATTTTCTCACAAATATTAAAACTCATATTAAAAACAAATAAAAAATTGTAATGAAACCCTTTAAAATATCTGTGAGGTAGAAGCAAAGGCAGAACAAGCATCAGACTTTAACATTTAATATACCATCTGCTCTTTATTTCATTCTGAACAAAAAACCCTTCCTATTCTTAAGCAGCTTAATCTGGGTGAAGCTTTTAGGGACTCCCTAGTTTCTAGTAGTTTGTTTAAACAGCCATGACCTTTTTATATCTATGCACAAAGATATTTATTACTATTTATATAGAAAAAAATTGGGAATCTATAATAGAAGTAATCTATGATGCCATTAAAAATGACATGTATTCATACAGTAAAAGACTAAATAAAATACAATAACATGTCTGTAATGACTGATGGGATTATGGATGATTTAATTTTCTTCTTAATTTTTAAAATAGAGAAACTGAAATGAAGGGCAAACTTTGACTAAAGACAAAAGAAAAAGCCTTTCATAGTAAAGCTATTCTAATTTTAATGTATAAAATTATACAATATCTCATTTGATCCCACTACTTACTGAAACTTGGCTAATGACAAGATCATTTCCTTAATTTTAAGAGATGGGATTAGGTCTCTTTAAGACACATAGGAAATGAGAACATTTGAGGAGAAAGTTTAATACTGAGTTTCTTGTCTTGATTGACTGATTACATAAATTACCCATTTATCCATAATTAAAATCCTATGAGGTAGGTGATATCATTCCCATTATATAGATGAGACAAGTCCAAAGCTATATTGCTACCATTGATGGAACCAGGACTCAACTAAGTGTTCCTGATTCCAAAGTTGTTTTTAAAGGAAGCCATTATATTATCCTATTTATCCCGTCACCTGAAGGACTTAATCTAATTTGTTAATTTGGGGGCTACACAGTGCTATCTGGTATATTCTTGCTAACACAAAGAGCTAAGTTGTCTAAGACTACTAGTGAGTTCTTTATTGTGAGGAAGGAGGTATTTCATTCTTTTATTAGAAAACAACACAATGTGTGGGAACCATGCCAGGGTATCCAGATAGTTCAGGCCAATGGGAACACAGAGGCCTTGTCATTAACACATCAGAATGGCCAAGGCCTCTCTAAGCATAAGCAAGCCTAATTGGGGTGCCCAAGGCCAATATACCATGAGTGGGTGCAAGGATTCATGGTACACTGTGCCCTTCTATAGCCAAAGTATGATTAATGAAACTATTGGCACAAAGCCATCTTTGTCTAAGGGATAATATAAAAGGATATCACTAAGGTCAGGGTGCTGGGTAGAGCAGAGGCAAAAGAGCTCTGATTCAGCGACCTCGTTCACCAGCCAGTGTGCTGGGCAGGGGAGACAGGAGAAACTACTAAGCCGGAGAGGTTAGAGAAGCTGCCTAGATAGAGAGCTTAGGCACCACTAAGATGTAAGGTAGTGAGTCTAGGGGGCAGCATGCGGCTGCTCAGATAATAGCTATGGGTACAGAGACTGATGCTGCTTTGTGGGAAAGATGTATCTGTTCACCAGCTGGTGTCCGGCTGCCTGCCTGTGTGAACTTTGCTGTGAAGGACTATTTTGCTTGTATAGAGCTATTGTGCACTGACTTCTGCAATAAAGACTCCTTCTTATATATTCACAACTTCTCATGGCTCTCCATCTAAGACCCAGCATCAGAGGAGGTCCAGCCCTAGGCTGGACCTAACACCTAGTGTACTTGTGAACAGAGGATAAAGGAGGAACTTGGACTAAGTTCCCAATAATTAGTACAGTGGGCAGAGTTTGAAAAGGAGCCACCCTTGGTATAGTCAGGAAGAACTTCGAATATATGGATTTAGGACAACTCAGAGCAGCAGTGCTCCTGGTATCTGACACAGTGGTTAATGTATTTAAGTTTCTCATTTCTACTGTCAACTGTTACTTCTCATTGCTGTCATTGTGCCAACCCCAAATTGCTTTCAAATTAGTTGTTTATCTTTTAGGGCCTATCTGAGACACTTCTTTGGGTATATAAAATGCAAAGCTGAGCCTGTGCCTGGTACATTTTAAGTACTCTGTGTTAGATTTTACTACTTATCTGTCCAAAACAGAATTTGCCACATTAACTATAGATTACATGGAAACTGCCATTATCTACAGCTCTAGTTTCCTTGACAATATTGATCTGAGTCAAGGAGTTGTATATGACTCAAGATGAGCCATTCAGATCCCTTCCCTGGGATTTTCTGAATTGGAACTAAGGAAAAGGATAATTTTTCATGGTTGGTGAAACTGGAATATGAGTGTGGTGGCTATGTTTATAATCCCATGGAGGAAATTGGTTTAAGAAAATGAGACAGATATTCAGAGATAAGATACAGAGAAAGTTGTGATTCCAATTATCCCTAGGCTGAAGCTATACCTATGCCTTTCTTCCATAATTCAATATGTAAATTCCCCTTTATGCCTAAGCTAGTTCAAGTTCAAAAGTATAATACTTGAAATGAACAGCACCTTGGCTGATTGATGCATTCTGGAAAAACAAAATTATTAAGGTTAACATTTTAGAAGGATTTCTTCTCTAAGGGAAACACAAGATCTTTACTGCTAGAGTTTTATTAGTTTTTTTTTTTTTCTGGGTTTGTGACTGAATTCAGTATGTGAATCTCAGATATGTGGAGTAATACCGTCTTACTGGCAACATCTCAGGTATTCTAGGGCCCAGTGGATCCACTCTTGGCATTAACTACCCACCTGCTGAGAGTGTGGGATTAAAATTTCCTAAAAAGCTTACCAGTAACATCAGCAATAAATAATTGGATAAGAGGAAGGAGCCGAAACCGGTTTGGCTCAATGGATAGAGCGTCGGCTTGGGGACTGAAAGGTCCCGGGTTCGATTCCGGTCAAGGGCATGTACCTTGGTTGCAGGCATATCCCCAGTAGGGGGTGCGCAAGAGGCAGCTGATCGATGACTCTCTCTCATCGATGTTTCTAACTCTCTCTCTGCCCCCCTTCCTCTCTGTAAAAAATCAATAAAATATATATTAAAAAAAAAAAAAAAAAAAAAAAAAGAGGAAGGAGAAAGACAATGCCTTTAGAATTGTTGGTTGCAAATCCTCACTGAAAAAAAGAAAGGCACATAACTTAGGAAAGGTACTTTTCCAAACAATGACTTGCTAATTCTTTTGCTTTTGCCAATAAGTTTCTTAGAATCAGCCTTGTATAAATCCACTACTGAATGAAAGTCTTATGGAGACTATCACCTTCTTCAAACTGAGTACAAAAAGGATTTTATTTTTATCTAAGATATCGATTCTTTTAGTAAATACTCTAGAGCACACGTGTCAAACACAAGGCCCGCGGGCCAAATCCGTCCCGCCAGGCCTTGCAATGTGGCCCGCACCACGCTGTCATCACTGCACTCCCCTGCGTTTCCATAACAATGACAGTTTATGACTGTTCAGTAAACCATTCGGCCCACGATTTAGGCTGGGTTTTAGATTTTGGCCCCTTCTCTGATTGAGTTCGACACCCCTACTCTAGAGGAAGCTGAGTGGAATTTGAAGCTCTTCCTAAACTGAGTTGCTTTAAAATCCATTTTGAAAGTGGAAACAAACTGGCTGTTTGGAAATTTTCCCTGAGCATTACCACTGAATTGATCTCTATCTAGTTCCAGAGACTTTGCTAGAATGGGGGTTTTCAAAACTTGTTTTCCCCTTAGAACGCTTCAAATGAAATTTTGGCAGAAGCCAAGTATTTTAAAAAGACAGAAGCTGAGGCATTCAAGTTGAAGAAATAAAGGGGGTGCATGGCTGAAGGCCGGGGGCTCCATCTTTACTCCTACTGCCACCTCAACATCCTTAGTGGCTGCCCAGAAAACCACTGGTAGTATAAATCAGCAATTTTGTTTTGGACAGCAGTTCATAACATGAAAACGTTTAAATGTGCACATCTTTTAAACAAAAGTATAGATGGTGCAAAGCAATTTATACAGAAATACTAACATGAGGGCACAAAGGGGTGTGTGTGTTTACTCAAACACAAACATATATGTAGCTGTTCAGTGCATAATTTTTAATAATAAAAAACTAGTAGAAGAAAAGCTGTCTGTACAATATGATCTAGTTATTATTTTTAAAAATTATAATATTTATATAAAGAAGAGAAATTCTGGAAAGATATATACTATTAATAGTAAAAACCTATGAGGGCGTAAAAGGCTTTTACTTTTACTATATTGTTTCTGAATTACATGAATCACTTATAAGGAAAATATATTACTTTTTATAAAAAGGAACAAAAAAGTTCTATTTGACTAGGGCATTTTTCCTACCTCCTTGGGGTCCTGTAATTGGTTCAGGCCCCATGGTACTTGAGGAGCCTAGTATGGGACAAATAATCTAATATTGGGGTAGTAACTGTGCTCAGTCAGTTGGGTTCAAAGTAGGAGAATTTCCCCCCTTTGTTTGCTATAATTTTTAATGGCCTACATATATTTTAGCTATAATTTCCTGAAAGTCCACTCAAATACTGAAGAGCACAGCAATAAAAATAACTTTTTTTAATTGTAGAATACCTAGTTCATCTTTGCAGTATTCTGTACTTGTGTTTATATATTTCTTTGATATTGATAATTTTTTTCCTATTAGTAAGTTGCAAAGTTGCCTGTTAAACTTATATCCTAATCTTACTGGTCTTCCAAAAAACTTATATCCTAATCTTACTGACTTCCAGACTTAGATTCTTCACACACTGCAGGGACCAAGCAATAAAAGAAACGTTCATTTTTTCTTCTATGCTGGTCTTGGGAGGTAGGAGCTGACAGGTCTGATAATCAAATGACAATAATTCTTTCTCTGACAAACACAGCCTTACCTGCAAGATAACGAATTGTCTCAAGCTTGTTAGATTCCATTAGTGTTTTTAAAGAAGCAATTTCAGTGTCAATTTTATTACTGGTTTCTGAAATAATACTATTGGTTATGGTATCCTGTAATAAATGAGAATAAATACAATTAAGTTTTGTCCTCAATATACTATTGGGAAAATATTTACATTAAAAATATTATTTATGAATGATTTTGTGTATTACAATAGTCTTTTTTTAATCCTTACCCAAGAATATTTTTTCCATTGACTTTTTTAGAGATAGTACAAGAGAGGGAAGAAGGAGAGAGAGGGAAAGTGAGAGAACGGGAGAGAGAGAGAGAAAAAGTGATGTGAGAGAGAGACAGATTAGCTGCCTCCCACATATACCCCGATTGGGGCTAGAGATCGAACCTGCAACTGAGGTATGTGCTCTTGACTGGGAATTGAACCCAAGACTTTTCTGTCCACAGCCGATGCTCTACCCACTGAGAAAAACTGGCCAGGGCTTTTTAAAAGAAGCTATTTTTATTGATTTCAGGGAGAGGAAGGGAGAGGGAGAGAAGGATAAAAATATCAACGATGAGAGAGAATCATTCATCGGCTGCTTCCTGCATGCCCCTCACTGAGGATTGAGTCCACAATCTGAGCTTGTGCACTGACTGGAAATCAAGCCATGACCTCCTGATTCACAGGCCTCATGTCAGAAAAAATAAGGCTCGTGACTGGAGGAAGCCTGTTTGACAAAGCATAGCTGACTTCTGTGTATAAGATGTCCCTCCATTTTCAGTCTTAATGACTTTAGAAAAAAAAAAAAAAAGCAAGCATCTTATACACAGAAAATACTGTAGTCACTGAACTATCACTTTATGTATAGAAAGGCTATGATAGTTAAAAATTTAAATATGTTCTGCAGAAGAAAAAACCTGACCAAGTTTATAATGTGAACTGGCACCAACGTTAAAGGAAATGGCAGAAATGCTTGTTGGGTAACACTGAATGCTGTGTGTATAGGAGCTGAGAGATGGTACTGAGAGCTCAGGAATTAGCTCTGAGAGAATTACTACATTTCCTTATCTCCTTTATCTTGCCAAAAAGAGGACAGAATAGGATGCTAAGAAGGACAAATGGAACCCTTCCCTTCTATTAAATTAGAAGCAAGAAAGTGCCATCTTTTCTGTTAGAATGTAGACCAAATGGCTTTTAACTTTTAAGAAAAGGATGAGGCAAAGCCAGAAAGCTGGGTTTTACTCAAGCCACAGAGATTAATGATTACAATGTAGGATTACTGAGAAGCTAACCATTAACAATAAGTATGGGGTTTAAAATCCAGGTTCATATCCCAGCTCTACCACTTAGTAGCTGTGTGATCTTAATGTCCCTGTGCCTCATTTTTTAAATTGGTAAATACGGAATAAGACTGCCTGCCTCACAGAGGCTGATGTAAGGATTAAATAATAGACAAAAGTAAAGCAAGTAGAACAATATCTAGCATATAATAAACACTTATTAAATGTTTACTATTATTAAAAAATTTTTAAGATAATTTGACCTAGACACTTAAAATACTAATTATGAATCATTTCTTTTTTATATGAAAATAATTTAGTTTGAAAAAGTATGCTACCAGGAAAGCTTGGTTCTTACTCAGAGGTCACAGCTCTGGTACTATCACGCACCTGGTGGCATTACCCCCAGTGCCAGTTAACCATAAAAGCTATGAGGAAATCATGGATTCTTTAGGTCTAGCTGTTTAAAGTCCAAATTTATAACATGATACACATAAAAGCAGGTACACAAGACTGAGAGCTGTACAAAAAAGGAATTTTTATACACTAACTTACCTTTTTGGTAAATTCTGTGGTTGCTTCCATAAGTTTCTTTTCTTGATCTGTAAACTAAAGGATATGATGCATCAGGAGGTTAAGAAAAAAAGACTAAAAGGGGTTAAGAAGCAGTAAGTAAACAAGAAAATACAATTAAAAGCACATTACCATATCTGTTACTCTGCTCCTTTCTAGGTTGATATCCAGTTTATTATCTGCTCTGATTCGACTGGTTTCATTCTTTAAAGAAAGTAAAAATAGTTAAAAAGTTTTCTTGTAATGAGTATTTTGAAAATACAATGTTTTTAAATGGGAAAAAACATTTCACTTACTATTAATTGTTGCTTAACTTGTTCTAATTCACTCTTCATTTTCTAGATGTAAGAAAGATCACATACAATTGGCTTTAAACTAAAAGCCCATATTATGATATTTTTCCCATAAAATTTGAAACCCTAGATTAGCAAAAACTGGATGATCTAAGGATTTCTTAAATTAAAAATAAAGATAAAAAAGAGTAATTCATATTTAGAAAATAATTCTTAGGAAAACATTAAAAAATATTTATGTTTTAGTTTTCTATTTCTTAAAACAATTGATAGTCTACACTTAAAAATATTAGTAGTTTATCTGCTGGATAACAAAATTCCCCTGAATTACAAAAACCATATTTTTCTCTTAAATGACTAATTAGTACAGAATCAAATAAAATGGAAAATGCCACATTACTTTCAGTTCTGAGAATATTATACTATGCGTTATTCTCAAATTGTATATAATATAAAGAGTTCAAATATCTAAGTGACTTTTATACATATAAGATACATCTCTTATTCTTTACTATGCAAGAAACTATGCTTTTACATCAAAAGATTAGGTATGGTTAAACATATAGTCTATTTTTATCTGAAAATTTATAAATAACTATTTAATAACCACATAAAATTATTTGGTACTATTATTCACCAAGTAGACCACTTGTGAAGTCAGTTACTTTATTAGTAATAAACTGAAACTTGTGTCACCTCGTTGTCTGCTCTCAGATTTGCAAATTCACTTTTCTCTAGGATGACCATGTCTTTCCTGATAGAGTCCAAATGGGCCATTAGCTGTTGTACTGTTATTTCCTAGAAAGTAAAATAAAATAACCTAGTGATCTATGGAAAGCCATCCCCTTACATGGAGTCGTTTTCATAAAACTTCAGGGTTTCAAGTGCTAAAAATACAATGTCGCTTGGTTAAGTAAAACTAAACAACACATAAAACCTACATATTATCAAAATGAAAAGTAAAAGGAGATTCAAGGAAGAAAAAGTACTTCCCAGTCCTAGCCAGTTTTGCTTAGTGCTTACAATGTCGGCCTGCGGACTGAAGGGTTGAGGGCATGTATCTAAGTTGTAGGCTCAATCCCTATCCTGGGGCATGTGTGGGAGGCAACCAATTGATGAGTCTTTCTCATATTGAAGTTTCTCTCTTTGTCTTTCTCTTACCCTTCCACTTTCTCTAAAAATCAATGGAAAAAATATCCTCCGGTGGGAATTAACAGAAACAATAAAAAAATAAAAAAAGCATTTCCTGAAGCAAAATAAATGTCTGGAAACATCTATGAAAGAATCCCAATAAAGTATTTAACATCTATGAGTTCCTCAACAAATATTGTTTTTAAAATGGCTACATGGAAAGGGCTTTGTTAATCTTTTTACTGCTTTAATTTTGAGGGATTTTCTACCATCAGAAAATTCCAGGGTACTGGATAAAAGACTCAGAAGTTAAGTAGTAAAACAAAATAGGTAGAAGTATGATTTAAATAACTACCCCTTGTTAGCATTAGTGATTTTTAAATGTCATTTCAATTCTGTATCTCTCAGCTGAAAACAGATAAAGCAAGAGACACATTGAAACGGGGGAAAAAAAAAATCATTTTTAGCTATTAATTAGTTGATTTTTGTTAAACCTTTAAGCCAATTTGTAATTTGTAGGGGAAAAAAAAGTAAGTTTGCCCATTCCTGATGGCAACATCATGAGTAAATTAATATAAACACACACACAAAATAAATAAATTCCTGGGTAACTTTCCTACATTTGGCATTACAAAGAATATGTGAAAGAAAAGGTGATCCTTATCGGATAGACTTATATGCTTTTGCTTTGCTAAGGAGGGACATTTCTGTTGAAATAACTTCAATGCTGAACTTTTTTTTGTTGTTAATCCTTATCTGAGGACAATTATTTTCCACTGATTTTTAGAGTGAGTGGAAGGAAGGTGGAGAGAGACAGAGACAGAAACATCGATGTTTCTCTCACATCAATTGGTTGCCTCCTACATGAGCCCCCAACTGGGGCTGCGATGAGCCTGTAGCCCAGGTACGTCCCCTTGCCCCTTTAGTCCTTGGCCGACAACACTCTAACCGCTGAGCCAAACTGGCTAGGATTTAACACTAAACTTATTAAATTTGGTAGCTTGTTGACTCATTTCTCCTGCTTTACCAAAAGAAAAAGAAGATAAGGATGTAGCCAGGAAAAGGACCCTCTATACCAGGGTATATAAACAAAACCAAAAAAGCCTAAGACAGACCAGGATTACTAGTGGAACTCCCATTTTTCTGGTCAGTTTGTGGCCAGTTCATTGTTGAGTTTACAGTCCTCCACTGACCAATATGTGCAAGAAAGTCTATTTTAAAACTGACTGGACTGTTAGAAAACAGGCTATCACAGTTCCAGATGCGTGCCAAGAAATGACTGTTTTCAGAAGATCTGGAATACACAACGCTCTCCAATAACAACTCCCAGATGGCACAGTCATGTGGAGTAGATGTTAAAAATGTGAGTGCTGGATTTAAGCTGCCTGGCTTTGAATCCAAATGCTGCCATTTACTGTGAGACTTTGGCAAAGTTATTTAATTTCTTTGACCTCATTAGTAAAATGTAAATAATAACAGTACTTACAATGAGTTATTTGGAGAATTAAATGATAGTCACATCAAATGCTTAATGTAATTCTTGGCACACAGTTAGCACTCAATGAATGTTGTCTATTATCGATATTAATATTACCAGAGACAGGGATGTAATGGCTGAAGCAGGCCAGTGTAACACCAATGTTTTGATGTGGAGATGTTTTGCCTTCAATATTAATCCTATCATAAAGTTATTATTTTTTTTGCTGTGCACAATAAACATCCCTGAGTCTTATGCCTTCCCTAACCTTCATCCTTATTGGGATAGGGGGTTCATTTCCTTTTTTGCAGTTCTACTTGATATAATCATGAGAATTAGTTCAGAAGTTATATAGAAGTGGCTCTATGGGCTGTGTTAATCCTACTCAAAAAGCATTAAACATAATGTTATCTTTATTTGAATCATTAATAAGATGTTATTACTGAGACTATGTAGAGAATAGCTGAAAATGTAATCATAGGTTTTTTGTGGAGTCTGAACCTGAGATAAGGAATTGTACTATGACCCTAATAGCCTCTATTTATCTCCATTTCCTCCTTTAAATACAGTTTGTGACTCAACAGGCCTATAAAACAGCACAGGTGTCCATCTTCAAAGACTTGAAATGGAAAAAGCATAATCCAGTATCAAGTAGTCGAATCTATTAAGTGTAATCACTGTAATTATATATTAAGGAGCCACCAAAGAATATGAATATAATTCAGGTTATAAATAAATTCAGCATATAACTGTATTCCCAGATTGAGCAGAGTCAACTTAGTATGGCCCTTTCTGAAGTGATCAAGTATGAAGCTTGTTGTCTCATGGCCCTGAGTCTCACCCCATCTTTCATAACATCTTTGTATTCTATCCTAGAGATGAGGTCAGCAAGGGGATTAGCTCAAGGATGGAATGGGATTTCAATGTCACACACCAGTAATAAAAAAAAATCAAAAGTGTAGCAGTAATATTCCCACATGTGATCCTACATTTTGAATATATGATTAAATGGTCCTAGCAAAAAAAAAAAAAAAAAATGGTCCTAGCAGAGTCTCCCTTGCCTGGGCAGACCCTGCCCTCACCAGCTTTCCCTCCACTTCACTCTCTTCTTCCCCCTCCCCAGGTTTTCTTTTTCTTTTTTTCTGGGCTGACACCCTAAGGAGCCTGAAAAAAAAGTCCTGGCAACATAAACATTTCTCAAGCTAGTTTTAACTCACTAATTACATATCAGGTAAACTTAAAAATCTGATATGAGTATATTACTTAGGCCTGGTGCATGAAATTTGTGCATGGGTGTGTGTGTTTGTGTGCCTCTCAGCCCAGCCTGCACCCTCTGGCAAACTGGCTTGCAATCCAGGACCCCTCAGGTAAGGTCCCTGGGCCTGGCCAGTGATTAAGGCTTTCCTTCCCCTGACTTTGGATAGCTGGCCCTACCCCTGCCACTACCACTGCTTGCCATCTGTGTGGAGGTGCTTCCTCTTCCCCTGCCACTGGTCGCCTCCCTCTGCAAGCAACAGGTGCAGGGTGCAATTGCTTGGCTGGTCTGGGCCTCCCTCATGGGGCGATGGCAGGACCCTCAACCAATCACATCGCACCTGGGTGCCAGTGTGTGTCACAGTGTGGTCATCCAGACCATAATTCTGCAATTTGGCCGTCATGTCAATTTGCATATTACACTTTTATTATTATAGACTAGAGGTCTGGTGCACGAGGGGGTGAGGGGTAGAGGGAGTCCCCTCAGTCCAGCCTGCACCCTCTCCAATTCAGGACCCCTTGAGGGAAACTGCCAGTTTATGCCCTAAACTAGGCCTAAATTGGCAGTTGGACATCCTTCTCACAATCTGGGACCACTGGCTCCTAACTGCTCACCTGCCTGCCTGCCTGATTGCCCCTGCCCCTCTCTGCCAGCCTGATCACCCCAAACCACCTGTCTGCCTGCCTGATCACCCTTAACTGCCCCCAAGCTGGCCTGGTTGCCCCCAACTGCCCTCCCCTGCCATTTTGGTAGCCCCACTCAGCCTGTTGTTCAGTCATCTCTCGTTGTTTCGGTCTGACGGCCCCTGGCTTTTTATATATTAGGATGTCAGTAGTTCCATTTGTTCTTTCAGGACAGCTCGGAGAGTTGGGAGAATGAAATGATTGGCTTTTTCTCAGTAGACTTAGTAGTCTATTATGATTCTGAATAAATTAAGCTAAAATAATGCACATACAAATTTTTAGTTAAGTTAAATTCAGGAGTTGAATACTCTTAATTTTAAAAGTCTAATTGGAAATTATTGTATCTTTAAAAAGATTTTGTCCTTCATGACCTTTAATGTAATGAAATTTTATGTAAGAGCTGCTAATTTTACATAAGAAAGAAACCCGCTGCTGTGAAATATTTAAGGAAGTTCAAATTTGAAAAATTAAAAAATATAAACATAAGAAGATTCTTAAACATAGTGAATTAATTCATGATGACAAACTATGAATTATTTGTTAGGTTCACTGAGCTTTTTCTATTCTTTATATAAACTTGTAGCTTTTGTCCATAACACCACAATGACAACTCTTGCAAATTACTCAACCTCTCTGATCATCTCTTCAGTGGCAAAAAGAGAAAAATTCTACCTCCATTTCAAGGCTGTTAGAGTGGTTAAATACTAGTAATACATGAGAAGTCCTCAGCATTGTGCCTCCAACATCTTAAGTTCTTAGTAAATGACATTATTTTGACTTAAAGGATTTGTGTATCCAGTCAAATTAAGGCATCTTAGCCAGGTGATTGATGAAGTCCTTCCAGCCATATAAGTACCTTTAGCCTTCTAAGTTTGTAAAGATTAAGCAGAATTTACATGTGACTGCAGTGAAATATTTTTATTATATAGAAGGATTAGCTTTTCTACTGTGGAGGGCTTTCAAAAGGGAAAAATTGTTTCACCAATGATCTACCACCATCTCATGATTTTAATAATATAATTATCTCATAATGTAAGATTTGACAAAATTTCATTCTCTGTGTTACCGAAATGGTTATGACTATTCTCACTCCTTAATCTCTCTAGGTACTGACTTTACTAAAGGTTTTCTGGTTTTTTTTAATCCCTTTAGAGAGAACAAAGATGATGCAGGTATGTCTGGGAGGTCACTGGGCAAACAGAGATGCAGTTATAAAACAGATGGACAAATAAACTTAGAAGTGATAAAAAGGAAAATGTTACCTGTTGAGCTTGCGTGACCATCTCCTTATAGATAGTGTCCAAGCTGACATTTGATAAAGTGGTTAATGCTGATACAATTGTTTCTGCTTGTGCTTTGTCAAATCCTGTAGGCAGCAAATAGGTATTTATATATTTTTTAAAGTGCACATTCTTATCAGAATAGACAGCTGGAATAACTTTCCCTATAAATTGTTATCTGTTTTTATAAAATGGTTACAATAAAAATTTGGCAGATTTTGCTAAATTACTTTCTAAAAACCATCTACAAGTTTAATGCCCACTGTCCATTTTCCCAATTTATATCAATAATGATATTAGTAGTCTTATTTATTTTTAATTGTACATTTTATTTTGAGATAATTTTATTTACTTTCAAATAAGAAATATATTTACATAATGGAAAGTTGAAAATGTATAAAGGGTGAGAGGTCTCTGTTCCAGTTATATTTTACTGCACAGCAAACCACCCCAAAACAGTGGCATACAACAGCAATAAGCAAGTCAGTTTTCCTTCTGGGGTTACTTTAGTCTTTTTTACTTTTAAGTGTACAATTGCCATAAAAAATGGTATTGCATTGTTATTTTAATATGTACTTAAAGTTTGTATTTCCTTGGTCAAACATCTTTTTAAAAAAAAATATTTTATTGATTTTTTACAGAGAGAAAGAGAGAGGGATAGAGTTAGAAACATCGATGAGAGATGAGAATCATCGATTAGTTGCCTCTTGCACACCTCTTAGTGGGGATGTGCCCGCAACCTTGACTGGAATCAAACCCGGGACCTCTCAGTCTTCAGGCCAAGGCTCTATCCACTGAGTCAAACCGGTTTCGGCTGGTCAAACATCTTTACATATACTTATTGACTACTGATATTTATTTTTCTGTGAGCTGTTTAGAGCTTTTGCCCATTTTTCTGTAAAGTTGCTGAGCTTTTTCTCATTGATTCACATGGACTCTTTATTAAAACATAGGCTCATTGTCATGTTTCTGTAAAAAAATATTTCTGTAGCCGAAACTGGTTTGGCTCAGTGGTAGAGCGTCAGTCTGCGGACTGAAAGGTCCCAGGTTCGATTCTGGTCAGGGGTGTGTGCGTTGGTTGCGGGCACAACCCCAGTAGGGGGTGTACAAGAGGCAGCTCTTTGATGTTTCTCATCGACGTTTCTAGCTCTCTATCTCTCTCCCTTCCTCTCTGTAATCAATAAAATATATTTTAAAAAATACATATTTCTGTAATCACATCTGTATTTACTTTCATTGCTTTAGAGTTTTGTTTTGCTCCCTCTAAAAATCTAAACATATTCTATATTCTAGTACTCTATTACAGCTTTTCTTTCATTTTTTATATTTAGCTTTTAGTCAATCTAAAATTTATTTTTCAGTAAGGAGATCATATATATTTTTCCTAATGGCTAGTCAGTTACCATAGCTCATTAAATAAATAGTCCTTCCTTTCCCTATTTGTTATACTTTCTTTTTTGCTTGCTAAGCTCATATGTGTGTGTGTGTGTGTGTGTGTGTGTCTGATTCCCATTCTATAATCTATTTTTCTATGTGATATTACATAGTTTAAATAACTGTTTTGATATCTGGTCAGTTTTTGTGCTTGTTATTTTCTTTTTTGCTGTTCTTAAACATTGTCCTTGTACTTCCACTTGGACTTCAGTATCAGCCTAGAAACTCTTCTTTTTTTCTTTTTTACATAATTAGAACCACCCTATACACATAATTTTACATAATACTTTTTTCACTTAAATACTTGAACATAATCAAGCAATACCATTTTTTATGACTATAAAATTGTCTGGATGGCACTTACATTTAAATAGTGATTCTTAATTGTTCCTAATAGTGATATTGTCTTGACTAGGTAATATATCATGAGTGGTATTAATATACTCTGTCAAGAGATACCCCTGTTTCTCACCATGAGTTTCCAAGTCCTGAACCAATGCATGGGTATCAAAAGTTAATTTCCTTTGTTCTAAAGGAGTTATGTCCACTCGCCTTATATCATGTGATTCTTTGGTTGTGGTGGTGAAGAAGTCTGAGAAGAGAAGACAATATTTTTACTTCTTGTAATAACTAATAGAAGCAGCATACTTTAGCTTCTAAAGCATTTTCCCCATTTATTATAATACAGTTCCAGCTCTTCTACGTAGGAATTCTGTAATTTCAGGCAAGATAACTGACTCCTCTGAGCCCCTGACTCTTTTATCCAAAATTGTCTATCATTATTTGGCATAACTAACATTCAATAAATGTTTCCTTCTTTTAGTATTTAGAAATGTTTGTTAAGAGTTATTCTAAAATAATATACGTCAAATGCTTTGATTATCACTGCCACATTTCTACTGGAGAACATAAATTGCCCAACTTGCCTCAGTGCTCAAAAGTTTTTTATAGAGCTATGAGAATTTTTAATACTTATATCCCCCTCCAAAGTAGCTTTCTATACTCCCACACTCTTCCATATTCAGTTTATTTCTCACATAGTTCTCAGTTCTAATCTGAAATTATGCATTATGCATGTTTTGTTTCTCTGAGTCACAATATAAGCTTCATGAGGCCCTGACTCTGTTTTTCATTACTGTTTTTTGTTGTTGTTTGTTTGTTTTTTAATACCTAGAACAGTGGTTGGAAAGCTGGAGTATTTGCTGTTAACATCAAAGCTCTAGGAAGTGTCACATTTTAAAAATATATGTCCTGTTTCAATAAAGTCCCAATTTTTAAGGCATGGGGGCAATGAGCAAAATCAGATATAACATGTTTTCATTGACTTTATATGTTAGTAGGAAGGAAACAGATTTAAAAAAATCTAAATATAAACTCAATTCAAATGATGGAAAGACTAAGGGGCCACTTAAGGTTTCTCCAATAGATTTAAGAGCCATAACTCAACAAATATGTTGAAGCATTATCCTTTACTCATGGTGATGTATTACCAGTGTTATATGCACTTTAAAGTTCTTTAAAACTGTTTAATATTGTTTTCATTTGAATATGTAAACAAAGTTCACCTCTAAAAGTTTACACACATAGAACTGAGATTGGGGTGATTTCCCAGGGTTTAAAAAAATGTTACTTTCTTTTTGTAAAGGACATTTAATGTGCACACAAGTTAAACACCTAAATAGAGAACCAAAGAGGTTGTGAAGGACCCTGGCAGCTGAATCAACAACTGCGGTCTTACTGTGAGTAAAATGGAGCAATGTGCAAAACAGCACAAAATACAGTGGGTACTGGTTGGCTCATTTCACCCGGCACTGGAGATTCCAGGTGAACACAATGCTAACATTAGTGCCAGTCGGCCACTCCGTGGACAACCCTAACGGGTTTAAAAATTGGTGGTTGTGGTGGGATGATGGCTCTGAAAACCTCTCTCAGAACAGAGTCAGATGTCCTTCAGGGCACACTGCTAACAGGGGCGCCAACAGTTCAACCTGTAAGTTCCAGGATCCGCACTGATGATCGCGGAGAACTGAAAATCACGACGAGAATGAAGCAGGCCTGACACATGCTGGCCTCCCCATAACCTGGGCTCGAGGCCAGCACCCACATAACAGTCTAAATGGGAACAGGCTACGAGAGAAATCAGGTCTCCCGACACCGATTACCTTACGCTGGCCCCAGAAAGACCTACGAGGGGGCGGGGACCACCGGCTCATCTGACGGTAAAAAGGAAACAAGCTCGGAAAGAAGCCCGGCGGAGCTCTCGTGGTGCCGCCGGGCGGGAACCCCAGGCCTTCGGAGTCCTCCCCAGTCCTTGCCCACCCGGGGCGAGGCCGGGCAGCAGCGTCTCCAGCACCCGGCGAGCGCCGGGCAGGGGGGCGTGGCACCCGCACCCTGGTCTCGGGCTGGAAGGAGCATCCTTTCTCTGGGACGCACCCCGACCTCGGAACACGGGGCCTTCCTCACCTCTCCGCAGGGCCAGCGAGAAACGCCCGCGGGGGGCTGAAACCCGGCGGCCCCCGGGGCTTTCGGAGCGCAGGAGCCGCCAGGCACTGCGACCCCACATATCCCGCGTTTCCCGGTCAGCGGGAGGAAGCGGAAGGCTGGGTGGTTCACGCTCAGACTTTCGGGCACGGTAGTTCTGGAGCCGCGAGGATGCTGGGAAATGTAGTTTTCGACCCGTCGCAAGAACCCCGCCCAGCGCCGGCTCGCACAGCGGCTCCGCCAAGCCAAGCGGGGCCTCCTCACAGGAGGACCCACAATTCACTGGCATAGGTCCGAGCGATTCCGCCTCGCCCGCCACCCCTTCCCAGCCCCTACGCGCCGTTACCGCCCTAAGGGAGCGGGATCTTGTCTTTGAACCTTCTGGCGCCCGCTTCCTGGCAATGAGGTACAGTTCAACAGCAGAATAATCCTGGAGAACTAGCAGCCATTGCGCCTGTGTCTCTCTGGGAGATGGAGGCACATTTAGCCGCACAGCAACCTGGGACCTGAAGTCCTTAGCCGCTAAGCCTTCTGGGTGGGGGTGAGGTGGGAGTGGGGGTCACGTAGAACCCTTCTGGGAAATGTAGTCCAGAGAATTCCTCATTCTTGCTGCCTTACATCCTGCAGCTTCGCCCTCTGGTGCACAGGAGGAGGAACTTGAGCTGGTTGAGCCCCTCTTCAGGGAAACTGAATTCCTTTGCTTCGAGGGTAGATCTGATGATATTCACCACTTATCCCTCTCAGATCTCAGCTACTTCAGACTTTGCTGCACTGGGTAAAATGCTGAGAATAACAACACACAGGAGATGCATGGCTAATGCACTTTTTTTTTTTTTTTTTTTTTTTTTTTGTAGATCTAAGATGGCAGCAATCATTAGTTTTTAATAGTTTAATTATTCTCGTAATTATCCAAGCAGTAAGTTCCTTGCTGTTTTGGGAACGTCAGCTAAATAAAAAGCACCATTCTACCCACTCAGGCACGTTAAAAGAACAACACTTGATTCCTGCCAGCAAGGGCTTTAACAGGTAATACATGGAGAGGAAATACGTACAAATGGGTACTAACTGAAAATAAATAAGAAAGAACAGTTTAATTTCACCAGCTAAGGAAAACCTTTAAAGATTTTAAAAAGTGATAATGCTATCAAGTATGCAATTAGGGTTACTCATGCTCCTGGCAGGAGTGTAAATTAGTACAACATACTTGGAAAGCAATTTAATAATATATATGAAAACTCTAAAAAGTGAATAGACAAAGTTTCACTTTTAAGAATCTATCCTAAGAAAAAAATAATTACACTTGTAGCTAAGACTTAAAATTTATAGTTCTTGCAGTGTTATTTATAGTAAAAAACTTGAAACTATCTAAATATGTAAAAATGATTCAGTAACTTGCAGAAATGTTCCAAGTTGGAATAATATGCAACCATTAAGTAGTTTTAAAAAATTCTTAGCGACAGAAACATTTATACACACACACACACACACACACACACACACACACAGCTGACTCTTGAACAATGGGGTTGGGGTTTAGGATGCTGATCCCAGCCTAGTCCAAAATCTGTATACAACATTTAACTCTGCAGTAGATCCCTTCCTATCTACAGATTCAACCAGTTGGGGACCAAACATGGTATTTTCCATCTATTGTACAATTGGGAATCGCAGTTGTGAATGTAAAAATACTGTTTTCTGTCCAAGATTGGTGGAATCCACAGATGTGAAACCTATGGATATGAAACATATATTTATTGGGGGAAAATCGGTTTGTAAGTGGATCAGTGCAGGCCAAGCCAGTGCTGTTCAAGGGTCAATTGTGCATTTCCGATATGATTATAATTCTGTTAAATGATATGTTCCCTAGGCTGGAGGAGTTCACAGCCACTGGAAGATACAGACCAGTAAGTGGGACCACAGTATTTTTATTTACCTTAACGTAACGATAATAAAAAAAAGCACACCTTTTTATTTATTAATATTGGCCATTGTTTATATTACCGTAAGACTCTCTCCCCAACAGAAATACAAGTGTTGATCAGTCAGTGACCAAAGCTGGGCCAATCCTGTTCTCTTTCGTGGAGCTGTCTATTGGATTCAGAGATTATTAACCATTCACTAAAACTAGCTGGAACTATAGAGCTGGGAGAGCCATATTCCGCCCAGTGGGTGGGAGAAGTACAGAGAGGCTGCAGCAGAAATAGCAGATGGCGTGAGATGGAACTAAGATTTAGCCGCTTCCTGAGACCTCTTTTTGTTTCCGTGTGTTTCCAAAATCTCCTTTTTGTATGCTGAAAGTCTCAATTCATAAAACTATTTTCCCATATATTTGTTAATATTTTTTATATGTCTGTTGAGAGAATAAAGGAGCTAATACATATAAAATGCTTAGCACAGTACATGGCACATCCAATAAACAGTAGCTATGTTTATTAATAATTGCTGTTGACCTTGTTCAATGTTGGGAGGTAGTTCTCCATGGGTCTCTCATACCTCCCGTACAGAGGCCTTCTCTGCATTAAAAAAAATAACAATTAAAAAAAAAATATATATATATATATTATTGATTTTCCACAGAGGGAAAGAGAGAGGAATAGAGAGCTAGAAACATTGATGAGAGAGAGACATCGATCAGCTGCCTCCTGCACACCCCCCACTGGGGATATGCTCGCAACCAAGGTACATGTCCTTGACCGGAATTGAACCGGGGACCCTTCAGTTCGCAGACCGACGCTCTATCCACTGAGCCAAACCGGTTTCGGCTGTACTCTCTTTTAAGGAAGTTTGTATGATTAGTAGCCTTGGGAAATATAGTCTCCCTCTGGAGCAGCAGGCCTCATGCTTGCTGCCTAATCTAAAAGATTTGGCTTTTCCTAGCTCAGGGTTTCTCTCTGTAATGCAAGCTACTAGATACTCAGGTACATTCCTGGGTCCATCTGCATCATCCCCATGAGATTTGGGGCCTGGCACAAATATGCTGATGCTCATGTAGCTGGCTATGCCATGAGTAATTATGTCCTTTGTTTCTGGCCAAGGATCCTCATGTCTTTTGCCAATATCCATCCAAAAACCCATGTTAGGGACAGGCTAACTAGTTAGCTTGAAAATAGGATAAGATCTCAGACCTCTCACAGTCCTTGACAATCATTGCCCTACTCTGGACTTAAAATTTTTTTTTTTTCATCCTTTCAATTTTACTCACAGAGTACCAGCCAGGCTTAAGGTTACTTTGAGGAACGTAAGGAAACAACTCAGAAACATAACGATTTGATTTATTCCTGTGTGCAAAGATTTCTGCTCTTTAAGAACCTGTAATATAGTTGGGAGAACAGAACAAGTATATTGCTTCCATACAATAATAGATTAGTGTCATATAAAGGTTACAGAAAACAAATCCTTCGGGTTAGTTGAGAATTACACTTTTTGGTCATGGTTATCAATAAGAAATAAGGTTTGAGCCCTGTCTTAAAGGTCTTTGTTAGGTGGAGATTGTGGGGCAGAAGTCTAGGAGAGAGGATGGAATGAGCAAGGATGGTTTAAGAATCTCCATGCTTCTGCCCACTTCACAGCTTTGCACATTGTCTTCTCTCAACCTGGAGTGTTTTCTCCTTTTTCTACCTGGTTAACTCCTTCCTGACCTTCAGATCTGTTTATATGCCACTTCTGTGTGAGGTTCCCCGCTCTCCACATGTAGATTTCATTTTGTTGTTGTGGACTCCTACAGCAGGCCAGCCTTCACACGTCTCTGCACTCCTCTTCTGTGTCCTCCGTGAAGGTGGAGAACAAGTCTGTCACTGTTTTCTCCAACACCTACTACAATGCCTGGGCCAATATGAGCCTGTGGCAAATATGTGCTGGATGAATATGTAAATGTTCAAAACATAGTCACAGCTGAATGAGGAGACCTGGTAGTCTGGGACACAGGAGTTATTTGGGAGACTGGGTGGAATTGGAGGATAGAAATCCGAGAAAAAGAATAGAAAAAACCAACAAAAGTTTTTCGTACAGTAGACTCAGAAGACTTCAAAAGTTTTCGAGATTTTTAAAAGGAGTGCCTTTCCAGAAAATAACTGTTTGGCCTTCACTGGTCCAGGCTATTAAAGCATTTCTCCTCCAAACGCCCAATGAGGTGGTCTGGCCCCGAGAAATTCTCCCCATCTAACAGCAACCTAGTGTATCTGAACCTTAGGGGCCAGTTGGGGGCAGAGAAATGGGTCCTGGATTTTTCATTGTGAAGGAGCACTTTTATTATTATTAATTTTTACCCTTATGTGCCTAAATTTAACCACTCATTACCAACGACATGTAGGAAGCCATTATTTAGTTTACTATATTCAATGAATTCAAGACTGTGAGTGCTGTAAGCAATGCTGATCCAACACCAAGCTGATACGTTTCAGCTGAAGGCAAAGGCACTTGCCAATTTTTTTTGGTGGTTTCCAGTTTTATCTCCAGTGATGGTACAATTTCTTTAGACATTTTGAAATCCAGAACCCTCTCCAGGACCCCAGTGCTCTTTCCTCTGAGGCCCAGAGGTTTGGGGACTCAGGTTGGATACAGTTGCATGAGATGGCCAACGGCTTCCAGCACAGTGACAGTGGTTTTGGTGACTTCAAGGAGAGAAGGTGCTGCCTGGACTACTCACATGAGTCAGGCCTTTTCTCCGGGAGTAGGTGGGAAGGAATCCCAGTGTACTTCGGGAAGCAGGTGAACGAGACAGAGAGACTGCACAGGATCCACTGGTCTCCTTTTCCTTTCTTAGCTTACTTGCAGTTCTTGACACTAGAGGGAGTATCAGGACAGAGCAGAGAACAATCCTTTGGCCTTATTTCTGCAACTCATTTTACAGTTTATGAGTCAGAGGAGCCCATTGTTACAAAAGCTTTGCGTTACTTTATGTTAATACTAGAGGCGTGATGCACGAAATTCATGAAGGGTAGGGTCCCTAGGCCTGGCCTCCCCACCTCCTGCTTCATCCTTCCCTCACACCCTCAGCACTACCACTGATCGCCCTCCGTGTTCTGTGCCGCCCCATCATAGGGAGCGATCGCACTCCTGCTCTCCCAGCCAAACTCCCAAGTGGACAATTTGCATATTAGCCTTTTATAGATAGATAAATACCTATCCCTGTCTCCACAAATCTGGGGAAGAGGCTTTTTCTGAATTGTACTAGGGGCTTGGCAATGACACCCAATTACACATTTGCTGTTTATAAAGAATTAAAGGGAAGAATTATTAAAAGAAAAAAGGACGGTTAAAGCATAAGGTATACTTTGCATTGTTACATCATATCTGACAGTGACTCTTGTTGATGACTTATTTACTCCTTCAACTAATTCTTCCTGAAGACTCTCCTTGGTGCCAGGCAACGTGCTAGGCCATGAGGCTAAAGACAGGTTACTATCAGTGTAACTGTAATCAATACTATGAGGAAGGGAAGTATGGACTGCTCAGGGGAACGCATAAGAGAGGATGATATTACCCAAAGCAGGGAGCGCTG